AAGGACTCATAATCATGATATAATAAAAGCAGAAAAGTGGAAACAACGTAGTTAAGCCTAAACATTTGAAAACTTGAAAGCACTTCTACATATCTTATATATCAGATGTAAAATAAAAGCATCCACAAGTCACAACCATGTAAATAACACAAGTTAAAACTCATGAGAAATTCTCTTTTAATGCTAGTGGACAAAACATGGTTCCCTCAAGTGTGTGCTACAGTACAAGAAAAATCCCTTTAACTACATGATAATTGGAAACAAGAAGAACTGGAAGTAGAATAGGAAGTCTGAGAAATCCCAGATGACATACACAGATAGAATCAGACTGACAGAGAATGACTAAAAAATAGCTCTGTCCAAGAGCCACTGGGAAGGATGAAACTTCCCAAGGAAGTCCCAGGGACTTGGAATAAACTACAACAGAAAACAAAAAAGAGCCCCAGGACAGACACCCGATTAAATCTATACACAGGGAATTATTGAGCCTATCAGGCCCTGCCCTTCCACTGTCTGTCTAGGACAAAGAATGGCCCCTGTATCCCTGGCCTCTGAGGTATAATGGAAAATTATCCCCAGTGAGCAATCTGCCTTAGGCGGGACACGGTGGTGGATATGGGGAGCAGAGTCTGTGGTCTTCCAGCTACTAAATGAGAAAAGTCAGTTCCTCTCCAAGAGAAAAGCCATCCTGGCCATTATAGAGGTGTCTGGTCCACCCACTGGCTCTTCAGCAAGCTACACTCCCAGTATATACTTCAACCTAGTCATACACCAGTTCTGCCTTCAAGGACAAGCTGTTGGAGGAACAGTTACAAAGCAGAGAGGAAACTTCTATTACCAACTTCTACACTAATGTTCTCAACTATTTCTTCACAATAGAAATGAAGACCCAAAGATCACCAGGCATTTGAGAAATAAGCAGCATTAAAAAGCAGGGTCATGATGGAAAAGAAGTGGCCTACAGGTGGAAGAGATAAGGACACAATTTCCATAATCCTAATACTTAACCTGAAATATTAATTATAATATTTAATCCTCAATTCTGTCCCAAGAAGAGAATTTTTATAATCCTAACATTTATCCTCAAGTTCAAAAATATATTACATACCAAATATAGACAGCTAGGAAAAAGAACCAATCAGAGAACAAGAAAATAAACAAAAATTCTCAAACATGATTATACAAATAAAAAATTAACCAGAAATCTTAAAAAAATAAACAGGAATAAACATCAAGACTTAAAGTTAATACACAAAGTTCAGGAAGAGGACTAAAAGATATTCTAGCAGTTCTTCAGTCTGAGGCCAGCCAGGCAAAAGTTCAAGATCCTCTCTGAAAAACAGACTAAAAGCAAAATGACTGGGGGCATGGCTCAAGTAGTAGAGGGCTTGCCTAGCAAACATGAGGTCCTGCATTCCATCCCTAGTACTGCCAAAGCCAGCCCAGACAAAGAGTTCATAAGACCCCATCTCCAAAATAACCAGAGCAAAATGGGCTAGAGGTATGGCTTCAGTGGTAGAGTGCCTGCTTCGCAAGCACAAAGCCCTAAATTCAAACCTTAATCCCACCAAAAAAAAAAAAAATTGAACACAGAATAATCCAGCATTTTCACTACTAGGTATGTATCCAAGAAAAAAGCACTGCTAGGTTTTTTGAAATGGGGGGGGGGGCTCTTCAGTTTGAGGTCCGGATGACCTCAAACTGAAGATCCTCATGCCCCAGCCTCCCATTTGCTGGGATTACCAGTGTGCACCACCATACCCAGCTGAGAAATGAAAATATAAGTTCACACACAACCTTATATATGAATGAAGTGTTCATACAAGCTACAATATGGACAGACCTTGAAGACATTATGCTAAATGACAGTAACTAAACACAAAAGACCACACACTGTGTGATTACCTATATGAAATGTCCAGAATAGGAATAAATAGACATTAGATTAGTGCTTATGAGGAAAGAAGAATGGGTATAAGGTTTTACTGGGTGACAAAAATCTTTTGAAATTAGATAATGTTGATGGTTGCACAACTTTAAATACACTACAAAACCCACTGATCTCTACATGTCTTTAAAAGGTAAATTTTATTGTGATAAAATTTATTATATCACAATAAAAAAAGACAAAGTAAGGAAGCATAAGAAAAGTTGAGTAAAGAGTCAATAGTCAAACTCTCACGCCCATCCTCCAAGAGTCTCAGGAACAAAAAAAGGATGAATGAGAGAAGAAATAGTAGAAAAACTAAAGAAGGGAGGTGAATTTAATAGAGCAACTGTTGAAGCAAAATGTAAAAACATTCCTAGATACTGTTCCAGCAAACTTCCACAGGCCTGAAATAAAAAGAAAAACTCAGACAAGATAAAGCAAAATGAAACAAGACACACAGGAGAGGGAAAAGTGAGGCTGGGCCCCAGGTGCTCCAGAGCTACAGTGAGAACCAGGGAGAGAGTGCAAAATCCAAACTCTGCTGCAGACCTCCAGGCTTCCTGAGCCCACTGGGTCTGACTCAAGCAAACAACCACTCCAGGAAAAAAACTAACAAATGATGAAATTCAATCAACCAAGAGGTGAACCAGATCAAATAAATGGAGGGACTATGTTTTAAAAGAAGTTTTATTCAAGTATAAATCTAGATTTATTCAAGTATAAATTTTATACTAAAAAAAGAAGGCTGAAGGCATGGCTCAAGCGGTAAGGCACCTGTCTAGCAAGCACGAAGTTCTGGCCAGGACCGGTGGTTCACACTGGTGGTGATCCAGGCGGATCATGGTTCAAAGCCAGCTGTAGCAAAAGTTAGTTAGACCCCATCTCAACAATACACCAGATGGACATGGTGGTGTGAATCTGTATTCCCAGGTACGCAAGAGGCTATAGGTAGGAGGATCACAGTCTGAGGCTGGCTCCAGGCAAAAATGCCAGACTCTACCTGAAAAATTACACAAAAAAAAAAGGGCTGAAGGCATGGCTCAAGTGGTAGTGTGCCTTCCTAGCAAGTATGAGGCCCCAAGTTCAAATCCAGTACTGAAGGGGGAAAAGCACATTGATGGGAATGTCGATACAATGTTTTTGAAGAGCATTTTAGCAATTTATTGGAAGTCACAAAATTATGTACTCCTGCTATAATTTAGATCTTAAATGTTTCCTAAAGGTCTATGTGGTAAACTTTCATCCCAGTGTAGCACTACTGGGAGGTGATGGAAGCTTTAAAAGCTGGGGCCTTGGGAGGCATGGGGTCCACTCTTAGGGGCACACCCTTAAGTGGATATTGGGACCCTGGCCCCTCTCCCTCCCCTCTCTTTACCTTCTGGCCACCAGGAGGTGCCAGCTTGTTTTCTCATGCTGTCTGGCCATGATGTACTGCTACCAGCCCAAAGCATCAGAGATGACTTGCTATGGACTGAACCTTCCAAGGCTGTGACAACATAAACCTTTCCTCTTCATGAAATATCATCTCAGGTATTTTGTTGTATCAAATGCTAACTAACACAATTATTTACTAAGTCTATGAATTTGCCCTCAGGGAAAAAAGAAAAAGCGGGCACGAAGATTTAAGTTCAAAAATGTTATGTTATTTTCAATATTATAATACTATCCCAAAATTGTACAGAGTAAATAAAATGTTCATAGCCTATTTTAAAAGGCATAACTTAAATACATAGACAAATCATTTATGACATTAAAATATATGATACATACTATAGGGGGAGAGGAACCTATAAAATTTTATCATCATCCTAATTTTGCTTTTCTATATGCAGAACAAACTTGGAAAAACTGGAAGCAGCAGTATTTGAAAGAGAAAGTGAAGGCTCCCAGCAGAGGACTACCTTAAACTTCAATTTAAAAAGTAAAAAAAAGTACTTGGAAAGGATTGAGAAGATGTGTTTTAATGTCAGCAGGGGGCACCCAATGCAAGGATTTGGGTTTTACATAAAGGTATTTAGTAAAGATTTCCAGCATTTCTTTCTAATAAATATACTACAACCTTAAATACTCAACCACTACCTTAAAATTCTATTTTGTAAAACCAGATCTTACTTTGGGAGAGTAACATTAGAAGATGTACAAGAATAATTATTCAAAGACCATTTTGTGCACTCCTCTTCCATTCATCAGAATGGAAGAATTACTACCTCTCCTCTGCCATGACTCACAGACCCCCTTCACCTCCCTGCCTCTCCAAACACTCACCTGAGATAAACAAGAAAGCGGGATGGTGACAACTACAACTCCACACCACCAATTGTATTACAGCTCCACTACGACCATGCAGGCATTGATCTCACTACAATTTAAGTATCACCAGAAGTCTATGAAGTACTTACACTGCCCTCCGTTTTAAAGATGAGGATACTGAGGCTCAGCAGTTAAAGCAATGTGCCCAGGAGGAAGATCTGGGATCTACACCTAGGTTTGTCTCAATTCTAAGCCTACGCCATTCCTTTGTCCCAGACAGACGCCCGAGGAAAAGGAGACTCAGAAAAAGGTTTAATCACTTGGTCAAGTCTCCCTGGACCCCAGAGCCACAGTCTTTTAGCACTTATCTAATGTGTTTTTACCCTGGCATGCTGCTTCTACAAAAAGCAAGTACACTTCCTTCCTTAAGGAGTTTATAGGTCATAATCCCACTGGATTATAAATAACAGCATCCATTGGGAAGCTATGTGCTACAGGAGGACTAGGTAGAGGTGACAAAGGATAACTTGAAGACAGAATAAATTAAAACACAATGAATACACAATGAATACACAAAAGAGCAACAGCTAGCAAAGCTTCTAGAAGTAGTTCAGATAAGCCAAGGATTTTATTTATAACATTAAGATAATAGCTATTTTAAAAGCTGCTTTTAAATTTACAATTGGGAGGCCTCCAGAAACTGCCTATGAATCAGTCGTCATCACTTCAGGATAATTTCTGGTAATCTCTGAGGACTCTGTGCTTGTTGCAATAACTCCCTAAAATCATGAAAAATTTTTAAAATGCAAGTGATACTTACATGTCCCAATTTGGAGCTATTCGCAAGTGCTGGATTAGGAGTTGGAACTAGAATAAAAAATTTTTAAAATGTACATTCAATTCATGGAACAACTCGGAAGGTGACAGTTAACAAACCAGACCTTCATGCAACTAAAATGTAAATTGTGTACCATGGAAATAACTATTTACAAACACACAAAACCACTGACTAAACAAGAAAAAAATTAAAGACTGGGGGATGGGGATGTGGTTCAAGTGGTAGAGCACCCACCTTGCAAGGGCAAAGCCCTGAGTTCAAACACCAGTACCACCAAAAAAAGTTCAATTAAAAAAAAAAGATTAGAAACAATGCCTTCACTTTCTCTTTCCACTTCAGACTACTGAAATGTCCCCTGCACACAACAGACCCAACTATCAAAACAAGCAACCTCCACATTATCTTGGAAGCAAATCAACTTCGATTTTCAAGTACCTTCCCAAATGAGGACCCCTCCAGAAAATGCCTCCAAAGCACAACGATTCCTTCAAAGGATGGCTTCAGAAGCTCTGCCAGGTCCCTCAGGGCTCAGCAGTGAGCCAGGACAGGTTAAGGAATAGCGTTCCCCAGGGGGTACAGAAAATAAGTCCTCAACAACTCCCTTCACTGCCACATCAGAACTTGGGGCTTCCCAGGCTACCCAGCAAGGGAGCCCCTCATTCTACAGAGCCAGTTCCCAGCAGAATGAAAAGGCCTGTCTTATGATTTCAGATATGAAAAATAACATAATTATAAATTAATATAAAATGCAAACCTTAGTATTACAAAACAAAAGACTCAATACTGCCATCTACTTTTAGACTTAAACTAAAACCTTAGACTAAACTAAGGGTAATTTTCATGAACCTATGATCTTGATAAATCACTTTTTCATTGTAATTAAATCAAATTAACATTCTGACCCTTGTTGTAAAATGTGTAAACAAACACTAAAGTGCAGGTGTTAGGCTTTTGCCTCATAGAACCTACCAGAGGGGAATGGAGGAACCTGGTGGCCACCTCCTTGTTCCCAGCCACTACACATAAGTAGCACAGGAGATTCAGCTTGGCCCGGGAGGCCCCTGCACTCTTCTCGGTGCAGTCGATCTGTGAGCATGCTTGTTGCAAAAAGTCATTCCACTCCTGGTCTTTCAGACATAACAACTTATCAGCTGCAGAGGAGAGAAACCAGTAAAGTAAAAGTGCATATGACGTGAAGAAGGATTGCTAAATTGGGCTCCAGTGGCTCAAGCCTGTGATCCTAGCTACTCAGGAGGCAGAGATCAGGAGGATCGCAGTTCGAAGCTAGCCCAGGTAGTTCACCAGACCCTGTCTCAAAAATATCCACACAAAAAAGGACTGGTGCAGTGGCTCAAGCAGTACAGCACCTGCCTAGTCCCTTCCCAGACCTAGTTCAAACCCTAGTACCATAGGGGGAAAAAAAAAAAAAAAAAGACTGCATTATGTGAGAAATGGAACAAACATTTAATTTTATGAGCAGGGATGAAGACAAAGAAAACACCATCAAAACCAAAACCACTCTAAAGATGACACTACTTTCAGCTTACTGCCATGGAAAACTGCTCAGAAAAAGAAGGCAGGTAACTAAAGAATTGTTCTGCAAACTACAATATTACAAAATTCAAAGTTAAATTGTATTTAAAGAAAACAAGACAGTCTTTGTAAAAATAGTCAGCCCAGTCCTAACATATTGGAAAAGCCATCCATTCTACAGTTGTTAAAAAGATACAGTGAAAGTACTATTGAACACCCCCCCAGGCTAACAGGATGGCAGGCACCATTGAGAACTGCTGCCTCCCAAGCCCCATACAAACAAAAAAGCAAACCCAGGAAAAGAGATGCCATCTCAAAGGCACATACTGTCAGCTGATCTCTATTTTTTGCTTTTGGTTTTTGGGTTTTTTGGTGGTACTCGGGTTTCAACTCAGGGCCTCATGCTGGCTACACACGCAGGTGCTCTACTGCTTAAGCCACTCCACCAGCCCTGATCTCTATCATTAAACAAAAGAAATTATAAAACCAATTCTCTAAATAACTCAAAGGGGGAAAAGGAAAGAGTATTTCCAGATAATATCTCTCTAGGTTTTCATAAAATAATGGCTTTACACTGAATGCACTAACTTAGTAACATTTTGCTTCATTTTGGTCTTTCAAAAACCTTTTAATAAGGTTTGAGGGGTTTTTTTTGGTTGGTTGGTTGGTTTGGGTTTGGGGCGGGGGTTATTTTTGGTTTTTTGGTGGTATTGGGGTTTGAACTCAGGGCCCTGCGCTTGCTAGGCAAGAACTCTATTCCTTGAGCCACAGCCTTCAGTCCATTTGTTTTGTTTTTATCAGTGTATTAAGCTGACCTATATAAACCATTGGTTAGCTGATTTAAATTTGATTTTATTTTGAATTTATTTCAAATCATAGATTGTACACTAGCCACAGTGAAGAACTTTTTCCAAATCTAGCTTAACTTACAATACACTTGTCCAGTTTAAAAAAAAAAAAAAAACCCCAAGACGTAAGATTTTCTGACATTCACCCCAAATAGGTTCTCATTAGCTGAAAAGAAACACAATCATCCTAAAGTCTCTCTATTGGAATACCGTCCCTACAGAAGTGCCATCAAAGGCCCTGTCCCTCAGGCAAACCTCAGTTCTTCATTGTGGCCCCCAACCCCGTACACCCACAACAGCACTAAAATGGGAGAGATCCAAATGGCTCTGCAAGGAAAAGGCAGGAGAAGACCCTCCACCCACTCACAGGAAACCTCACCCAGCTCCACAAGAACTTCCCCTCCCACAGGAGTACAGGGCAGCCCAGACTAAGCTGAGGTAGGTCAAAGGCTCACACGAGTAGATCACAGATGGTTTATAATTTGCAGAATGCTGCCAAGGCCATTGGCAAAAAGAAAAAAAAACGGAATGTAGTTATTCCTGTAAAAATATTATACTTGCAAATAAATTTCAAATTTGTGTCTGTATACAAAGGATCTGCATGATTGCCAAGCCCTTCACAATCCTACCTGAATGTGCTGGTAGATGTAGTATTTTTGAATCAAATTTAATTGGCGGTTGCTTCATTATCTATGGTTAAAAAAAAAAAACAATTTTTGAGATGCCTTAAGACAGATATCTGTCTCTTCAAATGAACCCTGTATCAGATTACAAGCCAATAAGGACAAAAATAAGAATGCTGTAAAATTTGTCATCAAAAAAGAAATTCAACCGTGCTACTTCACATTAAAATATACAAATGCAGGCAACTTTTAAAAAGCATTTCAATAAACATATGCAATAAAATCAAGCTGCACACACAGTTTCACCCTCTCTTGGCTTACTCTTTAGCTAATTTGCCTCTAGGTCAGAAATTTAGGCATTAACAAATATTTACCGGGTACCTGCCTCAGGGAGACCGGGCCCTGAGTGCTAAGGGGTACAAGGTTATTAAAAAGACAGGATCCTACAGTCAGAGAGTTGGGCTCTGCTGGGGGTGGGGAGACAAACACTTGTTAATAAAATACATAATTCATACAGAGAATAATACATAATTTCATACAAAGAATTTTTAAAAAGAGACTGAAACAAGAATTTAAGCTGCTGTGGTTGGGGCAGAGATAATGGAAGAGGAGGAGGGTGGTCTGAAGTCTTCAAGGACAGTTAGGACTTGATGGCTGTGTTCCAGAAAGATGGAACAGTAGGAACAGGTAAGTGCTCCATGTATTTGAGGAAAGTGAAGAAACCATGTGGTTGGATCTGTGAGTTTAGAACAATGGAAATACTTCATCTGGAGACTTTAATCAAAAATTCGGCTATTTTTATGTCCAACTTCTCCAAAATCTCTATATACAGTATTTTAAAACCCTTTGCTGGTAGTGTTCTTAACAAAAAAAATAGTATAAACTCATTCATTCTAATCCTGTAATCTAAATTCATCATCTCATTATAGTCATAGGAAATCCTCACATAAACCCAAATTAAGAAATATTTCTACAAAATACCTGACCAGTTACTCATCAAAGTACCAAAGTCAGGAAAGACAAAGACTGAGAACTTCTCAAAAGGCCATGAAAGATGAGGACAGACTATAGGACATGGAGGAAGCACACCATAAATGTGGGACCCTAGAACAGGTATGTGGCTTAACAGTAAGATTCCTGTAAGTTTAACAGTTTGAAAAAGCTGTACCAGATGACTGACACCAGGAAAAGCCAGGTAAAGGCATATAAGAACTACTAACTTGAACCTTTTCTCAAGGTCTAAAATTTGTTTAAAGAAAAAAGTTTAAAAAATAAGTTTCTGCTAAAGTTTCTCAGAAATCAGTACCCATGGTTGTACAGGGAAATAAATATGGAAAGAATATGGTTAAGTGAGATAACAAACTGTTCTAGAATGTCCACTGGGAAAATACCCCATTACCCATCAGTTTTAGCTAACGTAAAGTTATTCTACCAGACATCTGAACTCATGCAAAGAATTAGCTCCATTACAAAAGTAGCTAAATAATCTACATGAAATCCTGTCTTGTCTAGGAAATAAACATACAAGCAACAAATCATTTGTTCTAAACACGTAATGTTCCCTGTGTCATAAGAAGAAATAGCCATGAATTAATAAGAAAAAAGACATTTTTCAGAAAAGAAGCAGGGGACAGGTTAACAGGGCTCACAGCTATAACCCCAGCTATTAGGCAGATGGGGATAGGAGGACCACAGCTCAAGGACAGCCAAGGCAAAAAATTTCAAGACTTCATCTCTACCAAAAAAAAAAGGTATAGTGGAGTAAACATGTGATCCCAGGTATGGGGGAGAGAGGTGTGTAGTAGGACAGACGTATGAAGATGGCCTTAGACAAAAACACAAGATATAGCTCAAGTGGTAGAGCACCTATGTAGCAAGCACAAGTCCCTGAATTCAAACACCAGAATCACCAAAGGGAGAAAGAAATGGAAGCATGAAAATTAAAATACAGAACAGGTGATGGAGTGTGAGTGTTGAGGGGCTGAAAACCAAAAGAAAAGCAGAGGACTGAGAAACTGGTTATTTTCAAGGCAAATACTCATCATCCCCTAGGAAGAGGTGTGAAGCTACAAAGCTCACAGTGAGTGTAAACTGCACTATGAAGCACAACTCCCCACGCAATCCCCACAACCAATGAAGGTGGACACAGTGAGACCTGCTCACTAAAACTCAGTCCTGGGTGGTCTCAGTGTCTTGCCTCACCTTTGGATTGTCGATAATTGGGGTGACAATGAGGTCTGAGTCTGTGTAGATGAGCTCTCGCATCTGGGACTCCAGAGCCTCGTGGCTCAGGTGTCCACTTGCCATCTGAAACAAGAACAGAAATTACACTTTATTTCTGTGACTGGTAAAGAGCTTAAAAGATGCTGACCACTGTCAAAAGTCACCTGTAATCAATGGACTTCAATTGCTATTCAAGACACTCTCACAGTCTCAACAATCCTATATTGTATGTATCATTATTCCCACTTTACACTTGAAAAAACAAGGCTCAGAGACAGTACCTGGCTTGCTCACGCCAAGCAACCCTTACCACTAAGGTGGGTTAGAAATGGAAAACACATCTTCTGTACTATGATGTTCTAAACCGTGATGAGACAAACTGGTTTTTTGATTGACATGGTATTTATCTTTCATCCACAAATGCTAATCAATTATTACTGCCTTGATGAATATTCTACATGAAACTTAAATTATACCATTAAAAAAGTTCAGGATGAAGTACTAATCTGTTATCAAAGTGTTAAACACCAATATACTTGTTAAATCCAGAGTAGAGCTGATGCATAGTAAGAACGGATAGCCAAGTGTTCACTATGTCACTCCTTTGAGATGTCTGTGCTCCACTTAAATAGAACTTTTGTTCCTGGTGCTATACCTTAGTGTTTCTCATCAGAAAAATGAAGATTTATAAATTATGAACTTCAATTGAAATAAGGCTGTAACTAAATAGAACAGAAAACCAAATTTTAGAAACAAAATTATCTACAAATGAAGGACATGGATAAAGGAACAGAAGAATTAGCTAGCAAAGTTCCTAGAAACCAAGACAACCCTGGAGACATATACAAGAGATAAATAAAAGTCATAAAAAACAAATAAGAAGCACCATGGGAAAATATTCTAACTTTAAAAACACTGACTTTTAAGACAGAAAGATGACGCAGCCCAGCAAGGTGGTACAAGCCTATTATCCCACTACTCAGGAGGCTGAGGCAAGAGAATCATGAGTTTGAAGTCAGCCTGGGCTACACAGCAAGACCTTACCTCAAAAAAAAAAAAAAAAAAGACTGGGGTAAACCAACATGCCAACATGGCTACTTTATTAATTATGCAAGTTTGAGGAAGTTAAAACTTTGAGCTGAATCTGCTAGTACAGAACCGTAATCCCAACTACTCAGGAGGCTGAGGCAAGGAGAATTACAAATTTGAGGCCAGCCAAGGCTACCCAATGAAACCCCACCTCCAAAAACTAAGTCAAGCATGGCGGTACAGGACACTATAATCCCAGCTACTCAGGAGGCATAGGCAGGAGGATTTTTGAGTTGGAGGCCAGCCCAGGGTAAAGGTAGGAAGACACTGTCTCAAAATACAGATATTTCCAGATGTAACTAGGAGAACTTAATGGTACTGATGTAATGATTTCAATTATAAGTATTATCCTAAAGTACCATATACAATGGAAACAACTAAACTGCTGTCAATTACTAAAGAATTAAAAATTCTAAAAATAACTGTTCTAAGTGTTCTTGCCATCTGCAGTTTGGATCCTTTTTTTTTTTTTTCATTTTTCTTTTATTATTCATATGTGCATACAAGGCTTGGTTCATTTCTCCCCCCTGCCCCCACCCCCTCCCTTACCACCCACTCCCCCCTCCCTCTCCCCCCCTCATACCAGCAGAAACTATTTTTTGCCCTTATCTCTAATTTTGTTGTAGAGAGAGTATAAGCAATAATAGGAAGGAACAAGGGTTTTTGCTGGTTGAGATAAGGACAGCTATACAGGGAATTGACTCACATTGATTTCCTGTGCGTGGGTATTACCTTCTAGGTTAATTCTTTTTGATCTAACCTTTTCTCTACTTCCTGGTCCCCTTTCCTATTGGCCTCAGTTGCTTTAAGGTATCTGCTTTAGTTTCTCTGCATTAAGGGCAACAAATGCTAGCTAGTTTTTTAGGTGTCTTACCTATCCTCACCCCTCCCTTGTGTGCTCGCTTTATCATGTGCTCATAGTCCAATCCCTTGTTGTGTTTGCCCTTGATCTAATGTCCACATATGAGGGAGAACATATGATTTTTGGTCTTTTGGCCAGGCTAACCTCACTCAGAATGATGTTCTCCAATTCCATCCATTTACCAGCGAATGATAACATTTCGTTCTTCTTCATGGCTGCATAAAATTCCATTGTGTATAGATACCACATTTTCTTAATCCATTCGTCAGTGCTGGGCATCTTGGCTGTTTCCATAACTTGGCTATTGTGAATAGTGCCTGCAATAAACATGGATGTGCAGGTGCCTCTGGAGTAACAGTCTTTGGGTATATCCCCAAGAGTGGTATTGCTGGATCAATGGTAGATCAATGTCCAGCTTTTTAAGTAGCCTCCAAAATTTTTTTTCCAGAGTGGTTGTACTAGTCTACATTCCCACCAACAGTGTAAGAGGGTTCCTTTTTCCCCGCATCCTCGCCAACACCTGTTGGTTGGTGGTGTTGCTGATGATGGCTATTCTAACAGGGGTGAGGTGGAATCTTAGTGTGGTTTTAATTTGCATTTCCTTTATTGCTAGAGATGGTGAGCATTTTTTCATGTGTTTTCTGGCCATTTGAATTTCTTCTTTTGAGAAAGTTCTGTTTAGTTCATGCCCATTTCTTTATTGGTTCATTAGTTTTGGGAGAATTTAGTTTTTTAAGTTCCCTGTATATTCTGGTTATCAGTCCTGTCTGATGTATAGTTGGCAAATATTTTCTCCCACTCTGTGGGTGTTTCTCTTCAGTTTAGAGACCATTTCTTTTGATGAACAGAAGCTTTTTAGTTTTATGAGTCCCATTTATCTATGCTATCTCTTAGTTGCTGTGCTGCTGGGTTTCATTGAGAAAGTTCTTTACCTATACCTAAACTCCAGAGTATTTCCTACTCTTTCTTGTATCCAACTTTAAAGAGTTTGGGGGTCTGATATTAAGATCCTTGATCCATTTTGAGTTAATCTTGGATAGGTGATATACATGGATCTAGTTTCAGTTTTTTGCAGACTGCTAACCAGTTTTTCCAGCAGTTTTTGTTGAAAGAGGCTGCTAATTTCTCCATCGTATATTTTTAGCTCCTTTGTCAAAGATAAGTTGCTTATAGTTGTGTGGCTTCATATCTGGATCCTCTATTCTGTTCCACTGGTCTTCATGTCTGTTTTTTGTGCCAGTACCATGCTGTTTTTATTGTTATTGTTGAATATAGTTTGAAGTCAGGTATTGTGATACCTCCTGCATTGTTCTTTTGACTGAGTATTGCCTGGTATTCGTGCCTCTTTGTGTTTCCATATAAATTTCAACAGTAGATTTTTCAAATCTCTTTTTAATGAATGTCAATTGGAATTTTGATGGGAATTGCATTAAACATGAGATTGACTTTGTGGGAGTTATCGCATTTTTACTATGTTGATTCTACCAATCCATGAGCATGGGAGGAATCTCTCCACTTTCTTATAGTCTTCCTCAATTCTTTCTTCAGAATTATAGTTTTCCTTGGTGTAGAGATCTTTCACATCTTTTGTTAGGTTACACTAGGTATTTGATTTTGTTGAGGCTATTGTAATGAATTGTTTCCATACATTCCTTTTTCGTTTGGCTCATTGTTGTGTATAGAAAAATGCTAATGATTTTTCTATGTTTGATTTTATATCCTGCTACCTTGCTATAGCTATTGATGATGTCTAGAAGCTTCCGGGTAGAGTTTTTTGGGTCTTTAAGGTATAGTGGATCCTTCTCTAAGGCATTTACAATCAAACTCATGGAAAACATCTCTAGCAAGTACTTTTTCAAACATTTCTTTAAATAGTTGCTCAATTGACTCTTATATTTTCCTTGTAAAAATTTAACTTGTGTCTGTTGACATTCTACAAAAGTACAACTTCTATCTAACAAATTAAACTAAGGAGTTTTTTTTTTCAGATGCCAGGACATAACCTGTCATATAAGACAGACAAAATTAAGCTTAATGTACATCAGGTAAGCCCATCCTAGGAGCCACTCCTTCTAAACCTCTTTGTTGCTCAAATTTAGCCAAAAAGGTCTTTTTCTTTTTTTATATTATCATGCTATTATGGTACTAGGGGTACACTGTGACATTTACAAAAGTGCTTACAATATATAACACTTGAATTCACCCCCTCTATCATTCTCCTTTATCCTCCCTCCATTCCTGGGATAATTCCAACAGGTCTCATTTTTTGATTTTTATACATGAGCACATAATACTTCTACCATATTTGCCCTCCTACACCCTTTCCTTATAACCTCCCGTTCTCCCCCAGTACTGGTCCCTAAGAAAGGACCTGTTTTACCGACCATCCTGTTCTTTGTTTTTGAAAAAATGTATTTTTGTTTAAAATAGCTATACAGGGAGTTTCACTGTGACATTTCCATGTATACATGTATTATAATCCAAATTGGTTCATCCCTTCTATTTTTCTCCTTTCAACTCTATTCCCCTTCTTATGGTGATTTCAACAGGTTTAAAAATTCTATGTCCACTCTTATCTAGGAAGTACATCAACCATATTCACCTTAACTTCCTTCTTTCACTCTCCCTCTCTTGTATGTGACCTCCCCTTCACATGTTATTTTTAACAACATCTATATTTATATTGCTTGTATTTATATTGGGCCTATATTCCACATAGGAGAGAAAATGTGGCCTTGGGTTTCTGAACTTAGCCAACTTCACTTACGATGATGTTCTCTGTTCTCCAGTTCCATTCATTTACCTACACTTACCATTCATTCTTTATGGCTGAATAAAATTCCATTTTATATAAATAACACATTTTCTTAATCCATTCATCTGTTGTGGGGCATCTTGGCTGTCTCCATAGCTTAGCTATTGCAGCTATTGCTACAATAAACATAGGTGTGCAGATGTCTTTACTGTAACCTGACTTACATTCCTTCAGTATATCTCTAAGAGTCGTATTGCTAGATCATATGGCAGTTCTATTTTTAGTTTTGTTAGGAGCCACTATACTGCTTTCCATAGTGGTTGTACTAATTCACATTCCCACCAGCAGTGTATGGGGGTCCTTTTTCCCCACATCCTTGCCAATATTTGTTGCTGCTTGTGTTCTTGATGATAATCATTCTAACAGGAGTGAGGTAGAATCTTAATGTGGTTTTGATTTTCATTTCCTTTATAGCCAGTGATATCAAGCATTTCTTCATGTGTTTTTTTGACCATTTGGTGGTCTTCCTTTAACAAAGTTCTGTTTAGTTCATTTGCCCATTTCTTCATTGGGTCATTAATTTTTGGGGAGTTAATTTTTGAGCTCCCTGTATATTCTGATTATTGATCCCCTGTCAGATGGTTAGCTGGCAAAGATCTTCTCCCATTTTGTATTCTACCCCTTCAATCTGGTGACCAATTCTTTTGTTGTACAGAAGCTTTTTAGTTTCATGTAGTCCCATTTGTCAATCTTTTCTCTTAGCTGCTGAGCCAGTTAAATTCTATTTAGGAAATTATTGCCTCTGCCTATAAGCTCCAGAGTATTTCCTGCTCTTTCTTGCAGTAGCTTCATGGTTTCAGGTCTTACATTAAAGGTCCTTGATCCACTTTGAGTTGATACCTGTATAGGGCAAAAGACATGTATCTAGTTTCAGTTTTCTGCATGCAGATATCCAATTTTCCCAGGAACATTTGTTGAACAGCTGTATTTATTGTATGTTCTGGAAACCTCTCTCAAAAATCAGATAAGCGTAGCTACATGGATTCATATCTGGGGTCTTTTATTCTGTTCCATTGGTCTTCATGTCTGCTTTTGTGCCAGTACCATGTTGTTTTTATTGCTAAGACTCAGTAATATAGTTTGAAGACAGGGCTTTGTGATAACACCAGTGTTGCTCTTTTTGTTCAGTATTGCCTTGGCTATTTGTGGTCTTTTATGCTTCCAAATGAACTTTAATGTTAATTTTTCAATCTGTGACGAATGTCATTGGAATTTTGATGGGGATTGTATTGAACATGTAGATTATTTTCGGTAATATTGCCATTTTCACAATATTGATTTCACCAATCCATGAGAATGGGAGATCTTTCCATCTTCTGTAGTCTTTGATTTCTTTCTTCTATGGTTTACAGCTCTCATTATAGATGTCCTTCACTTCCTTTGTTAAGTTTTTTCCTAGGCATTTTATTTTTTGAGGCTATTATAAATGAAATTGTTTCCCTACATCCTTTGTCTGTTCATTGCTGGTATATAAAAAGGCTACTGATTTTTGTAAACTGATTTTGTATCCTATTACTTTGCTGAAGGTGCTTGCGATGTCTACTAGGAGGAGTTTTTTAGTGGCACTTTCCAGTCTTTTGGATATAAGATCATGTCATCTGCAAATAGGGAGATTTGACTTCTTTCTTTCCTATTTGAATTTCTTTTTTCTTCCTGTCTTATCGCTCCAGCTAGAAATTCAAAGACTACATTGACTAAAAGTGGAGAGCGTGGACACCCTTGTCTCGTTTCTGACTTTAGAGGAAATGGATTCAGTTTTTCCCCATTCAGTAAGATGCTGGCTATACACTTGTTGTTTATAGCTTTTATTATGTATAAAGCTTCTATTCCTAGTTTCATCAGAGCTTTTATCATGAAATGATGTTGAATTTTGTCAAAGGCTTTTCCTGCATTTATTGAGATAATCGTGTGGTTTTTTTGTTCTTTGCTTCTGTTAATAGGCTGTATTCATTTAATGATTAGTGTATGTTGAACCATCTCTGCATCCCTGGGATGAAGCCAACTTGAACATTATATATGATCTTTTTGATATGTTGTTGAATTCAGTTCACCAGTATTTTACTGAGAATTTTTGCATCTAAGTTCATTGAAGAGATTGGCCATTAATTCTCTCAATGGCACTAACTCCCACCTGACCTGCCTGTCACTCCCCTCCAGTGTGGGACCAAATCAGACCAACGTAGACATCTTATCTTGGCAAAAACGAATGACCTACTGAGACTAAGTTGTTCCAGCAACCAGGAAAGTTTTCTAAACTTTCAAAGACAGTTTAGAAAAAGACTAAACTGTTCAGACAACAGGGAAAATAAAAACTGTCAGATTTCAAATGGGGTCACTAATGCCCTGCCCATCAAAAAGCAATTAAAGCAGAGAGGTTAAAAATGAATTGTTCAATATGAAGCCACACAACTATAAGCAACTTGTCTTTGACAAAGGCGCTAAAAATATACAAGGGAGAAAAAGCAGCCTCTTCAACAAAAACTGCTGGGAAAACTGGTTAGCAGTCTGCAAAAAACTGAAACTAGATCCATGTATATCACCCTATACCAATATTAACTCAAAATGGATCAAGGATCTTAATATCAGACCACAAACTCTAAAGTTGGTACAGGAAAGAGTAGGAAATACTCTGGAATTAGTAGGTATAGGTAAGAACTTTCTCAATGAAACCCCAGCAGCACAGCAACTAAGAGATAGCATCGATAAATGGGACCTCATAAAACTAAAAAGCTTCTGCTCAACAAAAGAAATGGTCTCTAAACTAAAGAGAACACCCACAGAGTGGGAGAAAATATTTGCCAACTATACATCAGACAAAGGACTAATAACCAGAATATACAGGGAACTTAAAAAACTAAATTCTCCCAAAACTAATGAACCAATAAAGAAGTGGGCAACTGAACTAAACAGAACTTTCTCAAAAGAAGAAATTCAAATGGCCAAAAAACACATGAAAAAATGCTCATCATCTCTAGCAATAAAGGAAATGCAAATTAAAACCACACTAAGATTCCACCTCACCCCTGGTAGAATAGCCATCATTAGCAACACCACTAATAGCAGGGGAAAAGGAACCCTCTTACACTGTTGGTGGGAATGTAAACTAGTACAACCACTCTGGAATAAAATTTGGAGGCTACTTAAAAAGCTAAACATTGATCTACCATTTGATCCAGCAATACCACTCTTGGGGATATACCCAAAAAACTGTGACACAGGTTACTCCAGAGGCACCTGCACACCCATGTTTATTGCAGCACTATTCACAATAGCCAAGTTATGGAAACAGCCAAGATGCCCCACCACTGACGAATGGATCAAGAAAATGTGGTATCTATACACAATGGAATTTTATGCAGCCATGAAGAAGAATGAAATGTTATCATTCGCTGGTAAATGGATGGAATTGGAGAACACCATTCTGAGTGAGGTTAGCCTGGCCCAAAAGACCAAAAATCGTATGTTCTCCCTCATATGCGGACATTAGATCAAGGGCAAACACAACAAGGGGATTGGACTTTGATCACAAGATAAAAGCGAGTGCACACAAGGGAGGGGTGAGGATAGGTAAGACACCTAAAAAATTAGCTAGCATTTGTTGCCCTCAATGCAGAGAAACTAAAGCAGATACCTTAAAAGAAACTGAGACCAATAGGAGAAGGGGACCAGGAACTAGAGAAAAGGTTAAATCAAAAAGAATTAACCTAGAAGGTAACACACACGCACAGGACATTAATGTGAGTCAACTCCCTGTATAGCTATCCTTATCTCAACTAGCAAAAACCCTTGTTCCTTCCTATTATTGCTTATACTCTCTCTTCAACAAAATTAATGTTATAGTTTATGGAGTGGTTATCAACAAACTTCAGCTTGCTGATGGCTGCAGGCAAAGAACCTAACCCTTATCAGAGACCATTCTCTTCTTTTGGCCATGAATATTATTTTGGGCACAGTGCTGGGGATAGAACCCAGGGCTTTGTGTGTGCTTAGCATGCCCTCTACCACTGAGCTACACCCCTGCCTCCTTCTCCAACAAAATTAGAGATAAGGGCAAAATAGTTTCTGCCGGGTATTGAGGGGGGGGGGAGTATAAGTTACAAGAACAGGGCTATCTACATTCCAGGGCTATCTGTATCCTGTATCCTTCTTTCTCCAAGATGTTAACAAGCTCTAAGCTCCTTGGATGGAGGGTCAAAAAAAAAATAGAAAAAATGTCTAACAAATAAAGTTCTACAGCACACCTTTTGTCCCTATGATTTGAGTAAGCCTAGATGACACCTCCCTGTTTAAGCACTTATCTTAGCCACTCAGATCCATTATCTTTAACCACATGTATGCCCTTAGCAGTCCAAAAGTATAAGACTAAGACATGAGGGCCACCATTTTGAGTCTCTATTCCCATTTCTTGCACGGGGAACAGAGAATGTTTCTTCCTTTTCTTTCATTTCTCCTCACTTTTATCCTGTTATGCTAAATTCCTTTCCCAATTAACTTTACTAATATTTTTACTACAAAAAAAAGAGCTGGCATTATAAAATTATTAGAAGAAAGCATGAGCATCAACCTTTATGAGATTGGAATAAGGCAATGGCTTCTTGATATGCCACCTAAAATAAAAATAGCAATAAACAGCTATGAACATAGTTCATATATCGATTTGCAATCATTTTTCTGAGCTTCTGCATCCTATATAGAAAAGAAACTCCATCACTGCTCACCTTGGTCAAAGGAGAAGTCTTCAGTGGTGAACTATGAGTCACATCTGCCCCAGGACTTAATCCTACTGCAGTGCTAGTTCTTGGAGTAGGACGAGAACTAGAAAATACCCAACAGTTTCTTTAACATTATTCAGATTTCAGAGACTTTACTCTCTGCTTACTACTTTCTGAGAAAGAGCACGTATCATGAAAAACAGTAGAACAGGATGAATGTATACATTCTCATCAGTATAAAAAAAACCTGAAACTTTTAATTTGTGTGTTTATATGGCACTGTAACTTTTGTAACCACTTTTAAAGTAATTTCCGTGCTAATTTACTTACAGATCCCATGCTATATATGGTATTTTCTTTTTTTAACTGGAAACCTTAAAACATTTTTATTATTTTTTCCTATTGGCAAAGGTAGAATCAACATAATAAAATAGATCAAATGTTCTACAAAGGATGGAAAATTATTTAGTTTCATTTCAGAAAATATTTGAAATGGAAAGTTACCTTTGCACCTCTTGAAGATAAGAAACAAGTAAGTTATAATAACCTATTTCTAATGATTCCTCCTGCATGTATAAATGCCTGCTATAACCTATCAATCACTACATTACTCCTGGGTCACTGGTTTTCAATTTTCCACATTATAAAACTGATCTTTATAGCCCTTTTCATTTATTTTCTTCGAATTCCCAAAGATCAGGATTTGCATCTGATTTGCATGTCTTTCACTTACTTATCTGTTTATTCATTCATTATACAAGTACTTACACAGCACATAAAATATACCAAAGACTGTACAAGGTTCTAAAAACATCTATTTAAATGCCTAAAATGCGTATCAATAATTTACATTTAAATATGAGTATGAGAAAGATATTTTAGTCTAAGAGTTATAACCCCCATTTCATGAAATGAAACTATTACTATATGAGAATATTTTTTCCCTTTTGCAGTGCTGAAGTCAAACCCAAGGCCTCTTGTATGCTAGGCACTCCACTGTACCACTCAGCTATAGCCCCAACTGCAGAAATTTCTCTTAAGTATATTTAATATTTATTTATTCAATTTTTCATATATTGGTTCCCTTCACTTTAAGATAACTATTCTGATTTTTTTATTCTTCCAGCAATTATAAACATTGTTTACACCCAACATATAAAAAAGTATTTTAAGAAAAACACATGGTCTAGGGATATAGCTCGCTGAAGAGCACCTGCCTAGCATGAGTGAGGTCCTGGAAAGGGAGGGAAGGAGGGAAGGAGGGAGTGAATAAAAGAACTTATTTGGATAAGTCCTTATCTAAATAAAAAAGTTGGGGCTTCTGAAATGTTAAATTCATTTTTACCTAAAGTTAAAGTTCAAATAGAAAAGGTCCCCCATACACAGCAAAATCTAGATTGGCCAGCACTTAATTGCAACTTTGAAAATGAAGATGAAAGTGGATTCTGGCATTCGTACCCCATCCTTTACCTCTGTGTGATACGGTTTGCCACCAGGTCACTACTTTTTGATTTTTACTTACCTGAGAAGAAATATGGATTCATTCAACTGACCCCCAATAGTACTCTTAGGCCGCAATTCAGTTGGATTTTCTGTAGCAGGAAAGTAACATATTATCCATGAGCAGGCATAATGTACATAGAGATTTTAAAAGAAAGCTGATGCAGAAATGAGTGACTCTCTGAAGCAGCATCCAACACAGCATGGAGGTGTTGAAATGAAAGCTCACCTAGTCTGAAAGACTGACTCAATCGCTGGCCGCCCTTCTGCCCTTTTGTTTGTCCACTCTGAGGGCTCTGCAGGAGTTCCCTGGAATCTTGTAGCCCAGAACAATCCTTGACATTTCTGCTACTCAATGGGACAAAGCCAACAGTCAAAATTACTTTGATGTTTCTGTAATTTTGCCTGTACAACAAAAGCTTGAATGAAAAAAACAAAATCAAAGGCTGGAGAGGTGGTGCAAATGGCACACCACCTGTCTAATAACCAAAAGTTAAAAAGCATAATGAAATTACACAAGACATTTGGCAAAACAGTATTTAGAAAAGCTCAATAAATAAAGCTCAATTCTTCACTGAGTAGCTAAAATGAGCACTTTCTAGACAATAAGGCATTGTACAAGAAATCTACAAACCCTTTCCCTGAAAAGGCTAGGGAAGTAAACTAGAACTAGAAGTACCATGAAAACCTGTAAGGAGTTTCCCTCTGCTTTTCCCTTCGGATTGCCTAGGCCAGATTCAAAGGCAACAAACACAGACAGAAACACAAGAGAAGCTCCTCTATTTCTGTCCCAAGGAATAAAAAGGAGCTCCCTAAAGGCCACAGAGGGTATGAAAATTCCCTCTTGGCTTGCTTGCTTTTCTTGTGGCCCTGTTTCTCTCACCCAGACTCCAGGTAATCCTGCAGGCATTAAATAGGGATAGCCACAGCTATTGGTCACTACCTGAAACCTTAAAAGCAGAGGACTCTTTTCTTTGACCAGAGAAGTATGATTCTAGGAACACAAGGCAAATCCCTCTTGTTCTGCTGTTTTTCTCTCTCCCTCCTCACTGTCCTGCTCCCTTTAGATCTGAAGCCTTCCAACAAGGAATAAAACTACAATACACCATGACAGAGCAGGGGAAAGAAGAGAATTAACAATAGCTATGTGAATAGTCTTTTATGTTTTTTATATGAATTAGAAAAACAAAAGGTTTTAAACAATGTAAGTTACATTAGTTTATTCTTTCAAGTCACTTGCAAAGATCTAAATATTCATTTATAGACCAACAACAAAAAAGACAGTGGGGTAAAGAAGAGAATTAATAATAGCTACGTGAATAGTCTTTTACGTTTTTTAAAGTGTTTTCACTTATATTATCTCATATGTCTACCCTACAATTCCGTGCGGAAAACAGTCGAGTAGGAACTCTCTCATTTTAGAGATGAAGAACTAAGGGTCAGAGGTGTCCTGGACTTGCTGATGTTGACAGACCAGGACTGAAGCCCAGTCCACAGACACTACCTTGGTATTCAAGTCTTTATATGATGCTGCATGATGATGACTCCGTGACCAGTTATAAGCAGCTGGAAGGAGGAAGCTATATCTCAGATGAGGAGAAAATATGGAAAGTTCCCTGGATCACAGAAACTCAAGCATGGGAGGAATCTTTAGTAGAATTCAGACTTCTCTACCCAACACACTGAATTTGCTGACATCCGAAATAAGAAACAGACATTTACTGGAGAATGAACTGAGGGGAGGAAAAGCCAGCAATGAAGACTTTACCCCTACCCACTTTTCACATGCTCTTTCTGAACACCATCATCTTGTTGAGGGTCTTAGCTAAGACGACTTTATAAGAAACATGAAGCTCAGTAGGCAGGATGAGATGGTGATACATCCAACCACCAAATCGTGTGGCTTACAATCTCATATTTATGTCTCACTCAGGTACATGACCAGTTAAGGCTGGAAGGAAAGCCAAGTTTATTGTAGTCACTCAAGACGCAGGCTGACAGCAATTCCATTTTGACATTTTTCTTTCAAATTACATCACCAAGAGGAAAAAAACCAGCAAACCATGCACTGGCTCTTAAAGCATCTACACAGAAACAACACACATCACTTGTGTTCACATCTCATCAGCCAAAGCGAGTCACATGACCACATCTAACTCAGAAAGGGGCATGATACTCTATCACGTACTTGGAAGGCAGGAAGCCAGATGTATTTAGTGAACAAGATTAATGACCATCATACTAAATCATTGATCAAAACAAAAATTGATCAGAAAATGAGCAAAATCAAGAGCCCAAAAATATCACGACTCAACTTGATAAGCAATCTTTTAAAAAAATGCTAGATTTTGACTATGAAACCATAGAAATTCAGGTCACTGATGATGCGTTATCAAAACACAAGAGCATTCACTAAGTATGGCACACACACAGAGGTAAGTTCATATTACCTGAAGCCGAAATCCTCGATGCCTGATTCCTGCTCCTCTCTCATGAAAGCATCTTTCCAAAATGAATGCTGCAGTAGTCCTGTCCAATGTAATCTTTATAAAATGCAAACGTTAAAACATTTTTATCACAGAGAACCCCCAGGACATGTCCCAATTATATATAACACCAGATTTTACAATTCATAAACATCACCATACAACTGTGCCTTTCAGAGTGCTCTATATTTTATTATGCAAAATCAAAAGAAAAAAGTCAGAAGACTTAAATAGAACAGGAGAAAACCAAGAATAAGAAGTCTCAAGGTTCATATTCCATTGAGCCTAATGAAAACACTTCAATTTTTTCAGCCAATCTATGAAAGGAGTCTAGCAACAATTTGAAATTTTAAGGTAAATATGTCAGATATTATCAAACTGTAATGCTGTCATCCTTTACATCCCCAGAGAGAAGCAAAATCCTTTTAGTCATCCTGTTTGACACATTTCAGTTTGGGAACTAACTTCTAAAACCTCATCTAGAAACAAACAAGAATCTCAGCTGCTTGGCTATATATAGCCACAGCCCCGAAAAGGAGTCAAAATAATGTCGCCTTGCTAGTTTGCTCACACTAAATGATTTTAGACTGCACCTAAAACCCAGACTCACTTTCAAAGAACTAAGTGCCACTACTAATAAACTGTACCGCTAGGTATAGTCACTAGAGAGGGAAAAGTTGAGCTTGACTGAAACTTAAAAAAACAAAAAAATAATCCATGTTGTTTTAATTTTAAAACATTGGTATTAAAATTAAAATTTCCACACTTGGGCTGTCCTGAAGCGTACATATGCCACCATGCCAGGCAAAAATTACCTTGATCCAAAGTAAAACATACATATTAAAGAAAAAGAATTTGCAACCACATAAAACACAAAAGAATCTTATAATTCACTAAATGAGAAATAAAAATTGCCAAGAAAATAAAAATTACTTTTCATCCATCAGATTGGCAAACATTTAAGAGAGTAACCAAGCCAACTCTAGCCGAGGGTGGCAGGGAAGGAGTTTTCTAACATCGTGTTGCTAGAAGTGTAAATCAGCAGGAGTTTCCAAAATGCAGTAAGTGTTATCAGACTTTTAAATGCTTTTAGCCTTTGACCCACAATTGTACTTTAAAAAACTTATCCAAAGTTTCTCAAGACTACCCAAGACAACCCTCCAAAACAAAAACATGAAGGGATATTTACTATAGCAATGTACATAATATTTCAAATCAAGAAGCATTGTAAATGTCCATTTTATTCTGTATATTCTGCAACAATTTAAAATTACTAAGCAGATATATATTGATTAATATCAGAAGAGATCCATAAAATGCCAGAAGAAAAAAGTTGGTTATGGAGTAATAGCTAAGCAAAAAATTACATAATACAGGGATAGAAATGTAGGCATATGTGAACACATCATGGTAAACACAGCCATCCCTCCATCTCCTCAGGGGATTGGTTCCAGGAGCCCCCTCAGATGCCAAAATCCAGGGATCTTCAAGTTCCTTGTATGAAATGGCATAACTGCTCATATCCTCTCATTCTTTAAGTCATTTCTACATTATGTATAATATTTAATACAATGTAATGTTATACATATAGTTGTTACACAGTGTTGTTCAGAGACTAGTGACAGAAAAGGCAGTACAGAGTTTAGTATGCACGCAATTTTTTTTATTGTTTTATTATTCATATGTGCATACAAGGCTTGGGTCACTTCTCCCCCCTGCCCACACCCCCTCCCTTATCACCCAATATGCACGCAATTTTTTAATGGTCATTTTCAATCTGCTGAGGCTGCAGATGCAAAACCCATAGCATGTCAGGGGGCCAGAGGGATGACTGTCAAGTATCTATATAAATATACTATCAAAAAATATCTGAAAGGTTATTTTGAGAATAACCCTAAATCATTCTAATGTGAGTGAAAGAGGTTGATCCTACACCTTATAAAAGAATCGACGTCACCTCCTAGAGTTTTCTTCATATATTTAATAGGAGTAGGGAAAGTATTATTTTATATGCTACACTAAATTTATTCTCCATTTGACATTCTGAGAGGCCCCCAAATACTTGTCTAATCCCTCCCCTCAACCCTCACCCATCTAGTAGCAGTACTAGAATTAGAAGTTAAGTTGCCCCTGGGCTGGGTGCAGCCCCTGGGCTGGGTGTAGCTCGTGGTACAGTATGTACCACTTAGTACGTGCTTAGTGTGTGCAGGGCCCTGGGTTCAGTCTCCAGGATGACAAAAATAAACACACACACGCACACACTTTTAGCCTGAAATATACAATGGAAAGAAACGCACTTCTTAGATTTGAGAGTTACAAGAAAATGTGTCAACCTACTAGGCAATTATTTAATAGATAAAAATTCCTGACTAAAACTCATAAGTGAAGGAAAAACTCTTAATTCGAACTAGACTTCTTCTGAAACATTAATTAAGGCACGGTGATGCATGCCTGCAATCCCAGCACTCAGGATACCAAGGCAAGAGAATCATGAGCAGGAGGCCAATCGGGGCTACACAGCAAGACCATGTCTCAAAAAAATGAAAAAGGGGTAGGGGGAGGCCAGGCATCAGTGGCTCATACCTGTAATCCTAGTTACTCAGGAGGAAGGAATCGGTAGGATCATGGTTCAAGGCCAGCCTGGGCAGAGTTAGAGACCCCCATCTCAACAGTCTTCAGTAGCTGTCATACCAGCTACTAAAGGAAGCATAAATAAGAGGATTGCAGTCCAGGCTGGCCTGGGCAAAAAGTGAGACCCTGTCTCAAAAAAAAAAAAAAAAAAAAAAAAAGCAAAAAGGGTTGAGGGCATGGCTAAAGAGGTAGACTAAATACCTAGCAAGCTCAAGGCCCTGAGTTCAAACCCCAAAAAACACAAGAGCAACATTATTTTTAAAAAACAAAAAAGGAAAAAAAAAAAAAAAGATTCCAGTATTCATTCCCATTAAAATATCATCCTTACCTTTTCTGAGGATCTTTTTGAAGTAAGCCATCAACCAAATTAATAAAATCTGAAGATGCTTTAGGAAGAGAAGAATCTATAAACAAATTAATTTCCAAAGAGAGAGCGATAAGATGATGAACATATTACACATCAACTTTAATATTCTACATCAGTATTTAAACAGCATTTTAATTTTTAATTGTCTTCCGTTTTTATTAGCATATATTAGTTGTACAAAGAAAGGGGTTTCATGGTGATACTGCCATACATGCATACAGTGTACCCCAGTCAAATTCCTCCCTCTATGACTCCCCCTCACCTCCCTCCTCCTTCTTAAAATTGTTTTGGCGGGTTTCATTGTTCTATTTGTATACATATGTATGACCATATTCGCCCCACTTCATTCTCTCCCCTCGCCCTCTTCCCTCCCACTGGTATCCACCCCAAACAGAACCTGTTTTACATTCCTGTTATTCATTTTTTAAGGACTGGATTCCACATATGAGAGAGAACATGTGTTATTTGTCCTTCTCAGTCTGGCTTACAGTTATAGCATCTGAAGCATTCAAATTGTTTTAAGAGAATACGGACTCCATCAGCAATAATTATGGCCTCCACTTAACAGGGCAGGATGGGAAGTGCAGAGCACAAAGAGGCACAACTTTTCCTCAACATTGCGGGTGGTGGATGGGGGCAGGGAGTGAATCTCAAAACTAAGTCTAACCTAGCCTCTACACTTTACTGAACAAACCAGGTAAGGATCACCAGCCTGGCACTTGCACCCTGTCTTCAAATGATAACTATGCCTTATATCCTCTGAAGCATTCTTAAGCTGGCCAGCTTTGCTTTATAATACACTATTATAATACTTGCATGCTTCTCCTTTGAAGATTTTTAATAGGGAAATAATAAACACTGTAATATTATGAAATTGTCCAATTCCATTAATTTCATAATGCTTTGTTTAGATGGACACATATACGGAGAATTCATCAGTCTATGGTTAAAAGAAACAGACATGATGACAATGGCCTGAGAAACAGCCAAATTCCCTTGAGACCAGGCAATCGGCACAGAGGGTCGGATGAAGACCACTGAGACAGAATCAAGGTTGGGCCACCAGACCCTTCACACCTACATTTTCAGATTTCTCTTGCCTATAAAAAAACTACTGACTTATAGCAGAAAATAATACTATATTTAAAATTTTTTAATTCAGTTTTTGTTTTCGGAAGCATAGGTTACTTTAAAACTATCAAGTTTTTTTTCACCTAGGATACTTCTAGAAATACCAAACTTTTTTTGCATTTCTATTTCTTCCATTTATTACTTCTGAAATTTTCTTTTAAAAACATTATGTAATTATAAAAAATTTAAAATTTTAAAAGTAACTACAGCATAAAGTTTTATAGAATCCTCTTATGTATCTTAAGATTAACTTAAGAATGTACAGTGGTGAGTTATGCTACATACATGCCTTCTTCTGGTTTTCTCTTCTTTAAAATTATTGTCACTGGTAGATTGTTAAATGTCAAACACAATTTGTATGATCTAAGTTCCAATGCTTTTAAAATACTACACCTGTATCTAACTTAAAAGATTTGTAAAACCTGTCCTGGTAGCATTCTGATTCATGGTGACAAGGACTGAGAAATGCCTGATCTGTTCCCAGTGAAACACTGCACAGAAATAACCACGTGATAATACAGATTAAGGAAATGGTACGTATGAAAAACAAAAACACAGTTTCGAGTTTTTTAAATCTTTAAACCACTTTAAGTCTATGTACGATGTAAATCAACTACACTTATCCTAAGAAATTCTACCTTTTGGAATAGGTGGCAAAGGATCTTCATATAAAATCTTCTCAATTAATTCTGAAACATTTTCTGAAAAGAATGGAGGTCTTCCTAAAATCACATAAAGTTGCAAAATTAAACAGCTTTCCCTCACCAATAATCCTAAACCTAACTATGAATATTTCACAAGAGTTTACACAATTGTATAAATACAGGAGTTAAACAATTTATAAAAAAAAAGCAATAACTAATTATTGAATCCCTAATATGTACTCCACATACATAAATATATATCTATATTTTTATATTTCTCTAACTCAAAATTTATTGTCCTAATCAATACATAAATCCCTGTATGATTAATACCATGATCCACAGGTTTAACAGCCTGCTAAGCACATCTGAATAATTCAGTCACAAGGCACACTTACAAGAATTTCTACTAAGAATCAGTAGTTGGGCAACTGGCAGAGTAGCTCAAGCAGTAGGAGTGCCTGCTCAGCAAGCACGAGGCCCTGAGTTCAAACCCCGGTGTCACAAAAAAAAAAAGTTAGGCCCATTTCAATACTCCAGATTGTGAAAAATTACCTGTGTCAAAAAGTTCCTAAGATTCTGCTGGGTATTGAGGGGGTGGGGGGGAGAGGGAGGGGGTGGAGTGGGTGGTAAGGGAGGGGGTGGGGGCAGGAGGGAGAAATGAACCAAGCCTTGTATGCACATATGAATAATAAAAGAAACAGGAAAAAAAATAAAATAAAATGTCACAAATGGGAATTTTAAAAAAAGAAAAGTTCCTAAGAATTTGCATATGCTTACACATCAAGCAATTTTGCCAAAATCAGTATATACAAAAATTTAATAAAAGCAGCTTCTTGATACCTTATAGGCAAAATATTTGCAAACTACAGACTAAACCTGGTTTTTATTTATTTCTTTGTTTTCATCTAGCTCTGATTTGTACTAAACCAAAAATAGTCACCTGAAAACATTTCATAAAGCAGACAGCCCAACGACCAGAGGTCACTGGTGGGGGAGAAGTCAGTACCCTTCACAACTTCTGGTGCCATATATACAGGAGACCCTAAAGCAAGATATAAACAACAACTCTGTTAGGCATTTGCATTGTTCCCAACACAAACCTACCTGAAAGAAAGATGAAGAAAAACGAGGAAAACATACATAAACAAAATTTGACCTGGATTTCATAGTTTTAAATGTTTTCTAATTTAAGACTGCATTTTACAAAGGGTATGTATAAACAGATTTTGAAAATCCATCTGAGTGAGAGCTGTGGCACAGTCATTGTGTGTGTGTGTGTGTGTGTGTGTGTGTGTGTGTGTGTGTGTGTGTGTGTGTGTGTGTGTGTGTGTGTGTGTCAACTTAAATACTTAAATAGTCAAAAGACAGGGATCTTCATTACACTATTACAGTTAAGTGTTTTAGGTTAAGCAGCAGTTAATTTATTACTTGAACTCCATGTCCATCACAGTTAGCTAAGGGGCTGTGATCCTCAGAGCCACTCAAAATCCCATGCTGATGAGGGCTCCATCCCTCATGCTTGGGCAATCACAGTGGCAGAAAGAAATAAAGTAGCAAACTGCACTTTGGATTTTAAATTTCCCACCTCAGAGCGATTCACATCACACGGACCACGGGGAAAGGCAATCCTACCATATATCCCAGAGGAGGGTAGGCTGTTGCTGACGAGTAGTACTCACGTGTACCACATATGCTTCACACAAAGCTCAGTATAACACAGAAAGCCCTATTTTAGACACAGAAAGTTCCCTTACTCACTGATAAGAAACTTAGAAGGGTACTTAACATCCCATAAATGACATAGCTGGCCAATTGCAGAACAACCTCTGAAACCCAGGGTCTTCATCTCTCCCTGGAAGGGATCTTTCCACTCTTCTTAAAAACTTCCCACCTCCCAATGAGAATGTTCTCTCCAGGAAACAACAAAATTACACTGAGGGAAAACTTCCAGAAAATTAGACCTCCAGGACCCATTTCAGCCAGATCAGCAGCTCTGTGTGCTGCACAGCATGACAGTTCTCCCATGGAACATTTTTGCCATGCTGTCACATTTCACTCACACATTCACCCATTCAACAAACATTATGGAAGATCTATCTGCCTGCAGCATATGCTGAGAAAACAAAGATAAATGGGACCCACGGGAAGCCCGGGCACCCTGTCTGACGCGTACTTAATTGTGCTTCACTGACATCAGTTAAATGCAAATGCCTGCCTGTCCTCCCCCACTACAAATGTAAGCCCAATGAGGGCAAGATTTTTGACTATTCACATCCATACTCGTAGTACCTAGAATATGCTTACATGTCTGTTAATAAATAAATGTGGAATTATCAAATAAAGACACTAATGAACAAATGTAGGTCTCTACATTCACAGCCAAATGGAAAAAGCCAAACACAGAAAAATTTTGTATTACTGGTTAGTCCAATGATAGATTTGTGCACAGAATACTATGAAAGAAAAGAACTAATACGTATGTGTTCCATCCCTTAAAATCTTGCAAACTTAGGGGATAAACAAGTAAAGCAGTCTTGCTGGAGAAAGCTTAAAGGCAAGAAAAAAGCAGAGAGAAATGGAAAGAACAGAGGCACAGGATGGGTAACCACATGACATGTGCAAGAGACTATAAACATGGTGTGTTGTTGGAACATATAGCAAAAAGAGAGGGCCTGGGGTGTAGCTCAGTGGTAGAACACTGGTCTAGCATGCATGAGGCCCTGTGTTCAATCCCCAGCACCACAAAAGTAAATAAATACATGATAGATAGGTAGGTGAGTGGATGGATGGATGGATGGATGGATGGATGTTGGATGGATGGATGGATGGATGGATGTTGGATGGATGGATGGATGGATGGATGTTGGATGGATGGATGGATGGATGGATGTTGGATGGATGGATGGATGGATGGATGGATGTTGGATGGATGGATGGATGGATGGATGTTGGATGGATGGATGTTGGATGGATGTTGGATGGATGGATGGATGGATGGATGTTGGATGGATGGATGGATGGATGGATGGATGTTGGATGGATGGATGGATGGATGGATGTTGGATGGATGGATGGATGGATGGATGTTGGATGGATGGATGGATGGATGGATGGATGGATGGATGTTGGATGGATGGATGTTGGATGGATGGATGGATGGATGGATGTTGGATGGATGGATGGATGGATGGATGGATGTTGGATGGATGGATGGATGGATGGATGTTGGATGGATGATGCAGAGTCATGACATGAGAGGTTGTATCTGGGTCTTCCAAGCAGTGGACACCAAGATGGGATTAACATGCAAGACTTTATTATACCAGTTCCTTCAAGAAGAAATTGGGGAGAGCTAATCAGACAACAATGTACAACACACCCCAAGTTAGATAATACATCTAAAAGAGGTTCCATAGGGCCATGCTGTTTAGGAAGGCATCCTCCACCCCTGGCCAAAGAGGCTGACCTGCCCCAGTGTGACTGCACTAGCATTGCTGATAGAACTTCTGACTTACTGCTCACAACACAGCCCTCTTCCCCTTAGGAAGAAGAAGGTTTTAAATACACATTTCTGAAATATAGCACCTTCCTTCCATGTTTCCTAAAACAAAATTATAAATAATAACTCAGAACTCAGTATTCTACTAACACAGCCCACAACACTCACTTTAACAGAATACTGGTATTTCTACAGAATGCTATTTGGGGACCTAAAAGCCTTCTTCCTAAGCATGAAATCTGACCACATACAAGACTGGCTCTGAAAGCTAAATTTTCTTCAGTCATCTCTATGGGGGCTGCAATCCACCTTCTGTTCCCCATCCTCTTCTTAATCTCTGGGCCACTGGCTGCCAAGCCCAAGGGTGCTGCCCTCTCCATCCACTGCCACCCAACTTAGCTGACAGCATGGAGGCCACCATGGAGCCGCAATGGCCTCAAGTCTCAGGTACCTGAGAATGTAAGGAGGAAAGATCTTTACCACCTCCACCAAAGCGTACGGGAAGTAAAGCAGTCATTTTAACACCCCTGCCAAAATCACCTCCCAAGAACACACCCCTAGAAATGTGCCTCAATTACAGAAGATCAGCTACACAACAATGCTGAACAAATACCTATCCAGCCACTCGTATGTGCCAGGCACTGTTCTAAGGGCTAAAAGGCCCCTCCTGTTCTAATGAGTGGTTGGTGACACAGAAGCTAAGGATAAGATGCAGGCACTATTAGAGATTTCTCATGCTTGACATAGTATTAGATCCACATGGGAAACTTTAGGGCTATTCCTGTGTCCAGATTGTCCTGGTCATTATTATTTTCAACACATTATGAGTAGTGAAACAGACACTGTCCCTCAACTTGAGGTGTGGGTGGCCCACAAGAGTGATGTTCTTTCAGCTCTCCATGTCCACATACCTTTGACTCTACTTTTCATGCTTTTTTTCAGTGCATTTTCCCCACTGTCACCTCCTCCTTCTTCTGCTGCCACCATGGCAAAGAACTCTTCCAAATTTTCACCTTCGACTTTTGCCAAGCAAAAATTGCTAAACTTCAATGTGCCAGGCCCTTCCAAGAGTATCTGTGAAGATTTTTTTTTAAATGAGTTTTCAGAAACAAGTTCAATTTTATTTGCATTTCCACCATTACTTCTTACAATTGCACTTAAAGACCCTTTGATCCAGACATGGTGGTGCATACCTATTATCCCAGCTACTCAGGAGGCAGTGACAGGAAGATCTCAAGTTCAAGGCTAGCCCAGGAAAAGTTAGCAAAACCCTATCTCAAAAGTAAAATATAAGCAAAAGGGCTGGGACATGGCTCAAGTGGCAGAGTGCTCATCTAGCATAGGCCCTGTGTTCAATCCCCAATACTGCAGAAAAGAAAAAACCTTTTTGACTTTTTGAGCATTGGCTTGCTTGCTTCATCCCAACTCAAAAAAAGGCTTACAATTTAAAAAAAAAAAGAATCTAATGGCCAGACTCAGTGGCTTATACCTGTAATCCCAGCTACTTGGGAGGCAGCCAGTGAAGTAGTTCATGAGACCCCCATCTAACCCATAAAAGCTGGGCCCAGTGGCACACACCTGTCATCCCAGCTATGAAGGAAGTATAAATTGGGAGGATCACAGTCCACGCTGGCCTGAGCATAATCAGCAAGACCCTATTCAAAAAATAACAAAAGGGGGGGCATGTAACTTGTTCCTCTGGATATCTCCTCCTCCTCTTCATTCAGAAGGTTTACAAAGGAGACTGGGGATGTAGTGCAGTGATTAAGTGTTTGCCTAGCATACACAAGGCCCTTGGTTCAATCCTCAGTACTGCGAGAAAAAAAAAAAAGGTAACAAAAGCAAAAAGGGCTGGAGGTGTGGTTTAAGTGGTAGAGTACCTGCCTAGCAAGAACAAGTTTAACCCCCAGTACCACCCAAAAAAATTTATTTTAATGAAAAATAAATCCAACATTTTAATAACAGTACAATAAAAAATAAATGGCCCATTCTCAGACATCATCTAACCACAGGAGAAACCTGGGAATAAATAAAGAACAACATGTAAGTGAGCCCTCTGCATCTTTGGGTTCTGTATCCACAAATTCAACCAACTATGGATCAAAAATGTTCAAAAACATTGTTGTCTGTACTAAACACATAGAGAACTTTTTTCTTGTTATTCCCTAAATAATACAGCATAACAACTATGTACACAGCATAGCACTTACAATGTATTGGGTATTATAAGTCATCTAGGGATGACTTAAAGGATACACGAGGATGTTCATGATTACAAGCAAATTCTATGCCATTTTACATAAGGGCCTAGAGCATCCTGGCATTTTTACATCTGAGGTGGGAGGGTCCTAGAGCCAATTCCCTGTGGTTGGCAAGGGATGACTGAATATAGAACAATCTATATATACTCACCAACCCTCAGCAACATCTGAAAGATGATTTGTAAACCGATCTGCCTGATGTGTTTTAACAGAACTATAATGCATAGGGTTTCTGAATTTAGAGAACTGGACATGAACCTGAGGCCCTCCACCTGCTTACTATCTTAACATAAAGAGGACTTATTAAACTAAACTCCTCAAGTTTCTTCACATATAAAGTGGGGAAAATAATATCTAACTCTTCAGCCTATTGTTAGGAATCTCTGTTCATCTACAACAGTAGTTTTTAAACCTCTTCAAGCATCAGAGTCCGCTGAGGACTGACTGAAGAACATACATCTGAATGAGTCAATCTTGTCCTAACGACTCAACTCTACTACACTCCAGTAAAACTTTATTGACAAACAGAAATCCTGTTCAACCTTTTGCAGTCCTTGTTTTCTACAGCACTGGTTACATTACAAACCAGGCTGGATTTCTTGGACCATAGCAGCTGACAACGAACCTCATTAAACAACTCCCAGACAGCTACAGGCAGATGACAGTCTCTGGGCCAAATCTCCATCACTACCTATTTGTGAACAACTGAGAATTAAGAGTGGTTTTTATACTTCTAACTTGTTGAAAATAATCAAAAGAGTATTTCTTGACATGTGAAAATTCTATGAAATTCAGAATTCAGTGTCCATAAATAAAGTTTTTGAAACACAGTCACACCCATGCATTTGCATACTGCCTGTAGTTCTTCCAGACTACAGTGACAGCTGAGTGGCTGCAGACTGGGGTAAGGTTATGAATAATTCAAACAAGCACTTCTGTGCATCACACAGGGTTTTATGGAGTTTCTTCTCAAGCTTTAATTATCTTCTTATACAGATGGCCCAAAAAATAAAGTTAAAAAATGAAATATTCAGCTTTTCATCTCATTGCACATATTAAAGGAGAAGAAAAGCTCAGACTGGTGATATGCACAATTCCTGAAAGCACTGTCTTATAAACCAGGAACAGCTGCCACTGATTTTAAGCATACTATCTATCAGAAAGTACCCTAGGCCAGGCAGGGTGGCTCACACTTGTAATCCTAGCTACTGGGGAGGCAGAGATTGTGAGGACCAAACTTTGAGGCCAATCTGGGCAAAAAGTCCAAGAGATCCCATCTCAACTAATTAAAAAAAAAAGTGGGCATGGTGGCACAAGCCTGTTATCCCAGGTGCACGGGAAGCATATATGGGAGGACTGTGGTCCAGGCTGGCCCAGGCATAAACCTGAGACCCTATTCAAAAATAAAGCAAAAAGGGCTGGATGTGTGGCTCAAGTAGTAGAGATCTGCTAGTGAAAGCGAGGCCCTAGGTTCAAACTCCAGTACCATAAAAAAAACAAAAAACAGATAGTGCCCTAGAAGCTTAGCTTGAACCCAATCTATAATCCTCACAACCTCCCTGCAAACACCCATCTCCACATCGCAGAAAAGGAAACCAAGGCAGAGAAATGCAGGTAACTCGTGTCAGCGTCAACTGCACCTCAGAAACCAAGCAGGTCAGGATGTTCACCCACTGCAGCACATTTAGTTATGGGGAATTAATTTTACCAAAAAAGAAAATATTTGTTCCACAATATCAAGAATCATACCTTCATAGCCAAAAATGCCATTATAAATCATGTATTATAAATGTGTGCCCAAAATGCCATTATAAATCACATATTGTAAATGTGCAGCATAATTTAAGAGCTTAGAGTCTTATCATGTAGACCTATCATATTCATCATTCACAATATTATAAATTGATACCCAAGCAGTTAGGAAATAAAAACTCAGGAATTACCTTCCCAGGAGAAAGGTCACAAAAGAGAATGCCAAGTTTATGGAGATGATGTAATCCAGAAATCAAGTCAATCCCAAATTCTCTCACAACATCTTCTGGGAGATTTTCATCTTGAGCAATAACCGTTTCTAAGGAGCCACCTGCAAGAAGTTGACTAAAATCACCACTCTAACCCACCCACATTTCAGAGGGGATCATTAAAAAGTGATCAAGACAGTGAGCTCCACAGTGTGGCCAGGGAAGACACATAGATATGACAGTGGTCAGCATTCTAACCAATGTCTGTGTCCCACCCCAGAGCCAGCCCCAGAGATTGCCAGCTCCATGTGGATGAATGGCAACAACCAAGCAGGTGAATGAATAGATAATTACTCCAGGTCCCTCAGGAAATGAACAGCTGTGAAAATTAGTGTTAAATACTAACCCAAAACTGCACACTTAAGTCACATTATGCAAAGTACAGACTCATCTACTCCTGTGCTGAGTTGGAGCACATTCTGCATTGCATGGCAGAAGAAACAATGCCTTTCCTTACTGGTAAAACAACCCCAACCCTCACCATATACCAGGAGGAGGTGAAGGGACAGAGGCAAGCACACTGTGAATTCCATACCATGTTCCTCCATGACTCCAGTCACGTGTCAATCATCCATGAATCAGGAACAAACTTTTAAGTGTCAAGATTAGAATAGGAGCCAAGTTCAGAAAACACAGTCTCAGCTGGCAGGTCAAAATTCAATCAGAATTGCCAGGATAGGGTAAAAGTATTCAGGGGTTATTTGGTTTTGGTGGGTGAGGAACCATTCCAAGCACAATTTACAGTTTGGGTATTACTCCTGGTCAGGGGTCAGAAACAACAGTTAAAGCCAACTATGGGTAACCAACTAGGGGATCCCACTACCACCTCATCAGTGTGTATGTCTATGAAGGGGACCCAACTATGATCCCTGCTTCTGACTCAGAAAATTAAGATGCAAATTATTAATCAAATTACCCCTTTTATGACCACATTCTATAATTTATAAGTGCAATCGGTACAATTTATAAAACAAGTAGTAATTACAACATGTCAATATTTAATGATCCTTTGGTATTACTCAACACACAAATAGAACTATGCTAATGGCAGCTCTTAAAACTACATTTTTTCCCTCTGCTATACTCTTAAAATATTAAGACTAAAAGCCCAGGTAATATCTATGTATTTAGTCCTCTTTTTCCCTGTGTATGTTCCTAGAAAATTGCATGAAATGACAGCTATGACATGCTATCTCTAATTACCGCTAGTGTGTTGGCTCATCTTTATACTTTTCCACATTGCTTAAGCTTTTATAAAGCACAAGAATCCTATTTAGAAATACAAAAAAGAGGGGAGAAATGAACCAAGCCTTGTATGCACATATGAATAATAAAAGAAAAATGAAAAAAAAAAAAAGAAATACAAAAAAGAAAAAAAGTCTTTATAAATGTATTAGTTAACTAGTAGCTAATTAACCTAAAATTATGGAATTTGTTTATTTGGCAAACTTGACAAATTAATCATTTTTAAATATTTTGTACATTTTTATGTAGGGGATTAATAACATACCAAAGTCAAATAAACTCCAAATTGAACTTTACATAATTCTTGCTTTTACCAAACACCCTGGAACCTTTCCCCTTCCCCAATATCCACAGAGCAAAAGATTATCACGTTAACACAGTAAATCATATCAATACTATTTATATTTGCAATAAAAGATAAAAAGATGTAACAAAACTTACACCATAAGTTTTTCAATACCACATAAGGTGGCTACATTCATAGCACTTCTTACTCACGCTCACCTGTGCAGAGTTCCACTACCAACCAGAGGTGGTTGCTGGTTTCATACCATTCATGAAAAGTTACAATATTCTTGTGTTTAATTTCATGGGTGAGACGAACCTATAAAAACACACAGCATGCACTTTAAAAAAAATTCTTAAATCCTTGCAGCTAAGAAACACCTAACCGTGTAACTGCAAAACGGGTAAGAAAACAGAATTTATTTACAGACTTTAGAAATAATGGTTATGAAGGCTGGTCACTTGGAAAAATGCTAACAATATATGATCTAAAAACTGTGTATTTGTATAAATACAAATTCCAAAAGACTGATAGTAAATGACTAGAAGGTATACACCAAAGTAGTTACTGTTGTTGGTAGAACTCAGATGCTCCTTGACGCTCCATGGGGTTACATCTCAATAAACCCATCAGAAGTTGAAAGTGTCATAAAATAGAACTGCCTGTAATACACCTAATGAACTGAACTCCATGGATTAGCCCGGCCTACCTTACGCATGCTCAAAACTTAAAACAAATTACTGTGTATCTCATGTTATACACAGATAGGTGTTTTGAAGAGATGATGGAATTTGAAAAAAACCAAAAACAATATGCAAAAGTGGCTGGCAACACAGTAGCACCCTGCAGAGTATAAACTGTTTTCCCTACTGACCATGTGGCTGGCTGGGAGTTGTGGTTCTCTGCCATTGCCTAGCAATCATAGAGAGGACTATATCACATATCACTAGCCCAGGAAAAGGTCAAAATTCAAAGCCTGAAATAGGGTCTCTACCAAATAAGTAAAGTTGAAAAATCTCATGCAGAGCCAGCATAAGTTGGGGACCATCTGTATTGGTGGTTTGAAATTCTTTCTACTTCTTTCCCTTTTCCTCTTTTCTATGCTAAGCATATGCTACTTTTATAATTAGGAAAAATAAATAACTTTAAATAAAAAATTCTTTTTAAGTAAAACTAATTTAAATGCCCAGTAACACAATTACAGTTAAATAAGATGTATCAACTGATAAGATATTAAGCAAACATAAAAATGTTTAATTTTATGATATTGAAAAATGACAGTTATAAGGTTAAGTGAAAAAGGCAAGAAATAAATTTTATAATACCACAATTAGGACATTTAAAAAACCTGATAGGAAATAGAAGAAAGCAAAGCAAACTATGAACAGTGATTTTGTCTTCAGGAGACAATACTGCTTTTTGCCAGCTATCCATTTTGTCCATATCATCCAAATTCTCTACGATGAATATGCAGAACTTTTATAATATTTAAAAGAACTCTCAGAAGGAGTTAACAATTTTTTAAAATATTAAGTGAATCCTAACATCAAAACACCCCAATCATTAAAAAGAAAATAGATCAGGAGAAAAGTTATACACCAAAAACAAAAAAAAATTAAGATGCAAAAAAAAAAAATCCCTGGTCAACTAAGTTGCTTTGGGGACTTTGTTTTCTCTCTTTAAAATTCTATTGAACCACAAAGTGTGCATTAGTAAAAATGTATGGGGATGAGAATGAAATCTAAAAAAAAAATCAGATTATATAAGAACCACAGACCAATGGTTAACCAGAGTTGGGAGGAGGGAGCAGGAAGGGAGTTGTAGGCCAAAGGATACTAAGTTGCTGTTAAACAAGGCAAGAAAGTGAAGATCCCAAAGAGCACCAGGACAGTTAATCATAAAGTACTGTATACTGGAAATTCTCCAAGCATTTCCTAGGTGCTCCTACCACACCAAAAAAATGCAACTATGTGAGATGACAAATATGTTAAATTGCTTACTGATAGCAATCATTCCACTAAATAGGCATGTGTGCGTGTCTATCAAAGCATCAAATTACACATAAACTTACAGAATAAAAACCAAAAAATAATTAACTTTTTAAAAGACCTACAGCCAGGTGTGGGGGCACTTGGGAGGCTGAGGCAGGAGGATCACAAGTGTTTTTCAAAGAAAAAAAGGGCAACAACTACTAAACAAAGTTCTCTAAATTCTTGTTCTTTTAAAAAAAAAAAAAGTCACATACTCCCATCCCCAGCATGTATGCTCCCATCCACCCCATCATCCCCATCTACCTCCCCCCACATCCCCCCCAGGAAAAAAAATGGAATTAAAAAATCTCCAGGCTGGGGATATGGGTTAGTAGTAGAGTGCTTTATCCCTACTACATACACAGGCAGCATGCTCACACATACCTTTCTCCCTCTGCCCCCCCCCAAAAAAATCACATACAAGTTCTATTGTCAGTGAATGTAATTTAGAAATACAGTTTTTAAAATGTAACACAGAGCACTCTGAGAACTAGGATCAGCTCATTCTGTAACACGACTGAAAGAAAATAGAGCCAGCTCACTCAGAAGATAGGAAAACCAAAAATCAAAGTGAGAATTTGAGGAGAAACTTGTCAGAAACTTCTAAGAAGCAAGGCCATCAGAGCATGGGGAAGTCACTCAAAAATGAGCCCAGGAACCAGGCACTATGGAAACCCCAAGAAAGGAAATGTGAGGGGCTGACATAAAGAGACTCAGAGAAAAAAGGTGACACAATGATGAATGTGGGATGAACAATGACCAATCACAGCTCTTTGTGGGGATAATAGTAAATCCCTAAACCCTACTTTCCCTCCTTAAATTTTCCCCACTGAAAGAAACAGACTTTAAGAGCTTTTGTCAGCTTGACAGAGTTCACTCAGCCAGGTGGCCACAGTTCCTGGATTCTACTGGGTCTGCCTAGGACCAAGCCCCCCTATAAAGCCCTGAGCTGGACGTTAAACTGATCTCTTGGCGGCCAGCACATCTCTCAACAGTGTTTGCTATACTTGGGAAGGTCCAGTTCAATATCATGTGGGGTTTTGCCTGAGATTCTAACATCAGCTCACATCTGGTATTTGCAGTGTGTGTCACAAACACTTTCTCATGAGACAATTTCCTGTTGTCTCCAGCTTTCCCTGTTGAGCTCTGAGGGCAGGCTTTATTCAGTTAGGTTGTACAGAGGAGGGCTGCCTGTATTCTGCACTATGAAAGGTCTAAAAACCATCATGAAGTATCCTGCCTCAAAAGTTCTTCCCAGGGGCACTGCCTCAGTCTCCAAAAAGTCTCTATCATTCATCCCTAAATTAGGCCAAGGACAGACTACAAAATGCTATCCAAATGTGATCAGAGAAAGGAATGAAACCTTATTTTAAAAAATGAATGTGTATTAGGTAGGTATACCCACCAGCAGTGTCCTGAAAAGGAAGAACAGGGCACAGGTAAATTATGACAGCTGAAAGTGTCATTATAAATATGTCCAAAGTAAGGGAAAGTAGTAAGGAGGACTATCAACATGGCAGTGACAGCAGCCAGTCAGGAACACAATGGTAAACACAACATAGAGAAGACAGGGAGATAACTTTGCTGGCCTTCTCATTCTTCACCTAACTCTGCTGTCCTTCTTAATGGAAAGCTGGCATGATGCAACACTCAGACAGATCTGACCCAAGTTGCAAACACAATAATATCAATATCCCAAGCAACAGCGACAAGTGAATGCACCCAGTGCAGTATCTGGAATATATTACACACTCAATAAGCAGTGGCTGGTGATGAGCTTCTGCAAAGGGAAGAAAGAATAAAAATGCTCTGCTTCGTCTGAGACCTGAGTTTCCAAGGGCTGGGAAACCCAGGCAGGGGGGGCAGACAAGCACTCAAATGGGAGCTCCTGCCTGTCTTGATCCCTCTCACCCACACTCACAAGGACAGGATCTGCCTGTGACAGATTATCTTGCTCTCTAACATAGCAGATGCTCAACACAGCCCTGTGTGGAAATGACTAGAAGTTCTTTGGGAAAAGGCAGAAGCTTCTCTGGTTCTGAGTCAGGAACAAGGACAAGACCAGACAGTAGCCTTTCTTTATCCATTCTTCCCCTCACACTTCTTTCCACAGCCACTTCCAGCTTGGTACTCACCTTTCCTCTATATTTTCTATACATTTCTTGTTCCCATGATGACTAAATATGAAGAACCATCATGATAGAGAATGTTTACTAGATGTTAGACATTATGCAAAGTGGTATATCCACAACAAAATACTAGTAAGCTGAAATAAGCAGCATATTAAAAGAATTACACATCATAACCCAGTGTATTTATTCCTGGAGCACAGGGATAGTCCAACAAAGGAAAAAGCAATAACCACATGACAAAATTCAACACCCATTTATGAAAAAAAAAGAAAAAAAGCACTTCATGAACTAGGAATGGAAGGAAACTATTTCAACATAATAGAGACCGTGTATGAAAAGCCCAAAGGAAAAAATCATACTCAATGGTGAATGTTTGAATGCTTTTCTTCTAAGATCAGGAATAAGGCAAGAATGCTTACTTTCAGGTAACGCTGAGGAGAAGTCACATATAAGAGGGAGGGTAAAAGAAGGAAGTTTAAAAGATGAATATTGTTGATGTACTTTCTATACAAATGAATACAGAACTTTTAAACCTTTTGAAATGACCATAAGAAGAGGACTAAAGTGGAAAGGAGAAAAATAGAAGAGGTGAACCAATTTGGGTTATAATGCATATATACGTGGAAAAGTCACAATGAAACACCTGTATAGATATCTTAAACAAAAATGTCTTTTTTTTTTTTTTTTCAAAAACAGAACAGGAAGGCAAAACAGGTACTGTCTGGGGGACTAGTACCCATGGGAGGGTGAAGATATAAGGAAAGGATGTAGGAGGTGAATATGGTGGAAATTCTATATACTCATGTATGTAAAGGGAAAAATGAGATCTGTTGAAACTATTCTAGGAATGGGGGTCAGGGACAAAGGAGAATGATGGAGGGGTGAAATCAACTATGATATATTATAAGAACTTTTGTAAATGTCACAATGTATCTCCAGCACAATAATAAAAATTAATTAATTAAATTTTTAAAAAAGAATGCCTACTTTCACCACTTTGAGTCAACACAGCACTGCAAGTCCTAACCAGAGAATTAGTCAAGAAAAAGAATTTTATTTTCCTCCTTACTTGGGAAAAAAGAAAATTATTTATTTGCAGATGACATGATTGATTTTATATGTAGAAAACCCTACAGATTCCAGATCCAAAAACAACTGTCAAAATAAACAAGTTTAGCCAAGTAGCAGGATTTAAACTCCATACTCAAAATGATCTGCATTTCTACACACTAACAAATGAACAATCTGAAAAGGAAATCAATAAACCAACTCCATTTATAACAACATCAAAAAGATAAAATTCAGTGGAAGAGGTGAGAGACTTTTACTATGAAAACTACAAAATATTACAGAAAGAACTCTCAAGACATAAAAGGGGACACATCTCATGTTTGTGGGCTAAAGGACAAAAGTATCAAGATATCAATACCAGTCAAGGCAACCTATACATTCAATGTAATTCCCTAACCAAATCCCTATTTTTTTTTTTTGCAGAAATAGAAAAATCTATCCAAAAATTCATAGAGAATCTCAAGGGATGCCAGATAGCCAAAACAATCTTGAACAAAAACAAGTTGGAGGATTCACACTTTCTAGTTTCAAAACTTACTTCAAAGCTTTAGTAAGTGTAGTACTGGCAATAAAAACAAGAGATACAGACTAAAGGAACAGAGTGGAGAGCCCAGAAATAAACTCACACATATGTCAGATAATTATCACCAACAGAGCCAAGACTATTCAACAAGCAAAAGCCAGTCTTTCAACAAATGGTGCTGGGAAAGCTGGATATCCATATGCAAAAAAAAAAAAAAAAGCTGAATCCTTACCAAATACCATATACAAAAATTAACTCAAAATGAGCCAAAGACATAAACACAAAAGCTAACATTGTAAACTCTTAGAAGAAAATATAAAAGCTTGTCAACATTAGATTTGATTATTATTTTTAGGTATGACAGATGATTTTTAGATAGATAATGAAAAACAAAATAGAAAAATTGGACTTCATAAAAATTAAAAACTTTGTGCATCAAAGGAAACAATCAATACAGTGAAAAGGCAACCTATGGAATGGAAAGATCCTGGCAAGCCATTTATCTCACAAGAGATCAATACTCCAAATATTTAGAGAACTCAGAAAACTCAACAAGAAAATAATCAGATTGGAAAATGGGCGAAGGACTTGAACTGACATTTCTATAGAAAAGATACACGAATTGTCGGCAAGCATGTGAAATGATGCCAACATCACTAGTCACTAAAGAAATGGAAATCAAAACAACGAGATACCACCTCATTCCCATTAGGACAGCTACTTTTGAAAACTAGAACATGTGTTGGTGAGAATACAGAGAAACTGGAACCCTGTGCACTGCTGACTGGAAGCTAAAATACTAGCTACAGAAAACAGGATAGCAGCAGTTCCTTAAAACACTGAAAATACCATAAGATCCAGCCATACCACCTCTGGGTTCAGACAAAAGAAAAGAAAGCAGGAGATATTTGTACATGCATATGAACAGCCATACTATCCACAACAGTTAAAACATGGAAGCAACTCAAGTGTCTACTTATACATGAATAGAAAAGCAAAATGAATAGATTAGTATGTACCTATAATTCAGTCTTAGAGGAAATTCTGACACATGCTACAATATGGATGAACCTAGAAGACATTATGCAAGCTGAAATAAGCTCGTTACAAAAATACAAATGCTCTATGGTAACACTTAGATGAGGTACCTGGGATGGTCACAGTCCTAGAAACATACGGCAAAGTGGGGGTCACCAGGGGCTGGGGTCAGGAGGGAATGGGCTGTTATTTTAATGGGTATAGAGTTTCAGTTTTATAAGATGAAAAGTTATGGAGATAGATGGTAATGATGGCTGTATAACAATATGGACATACTTTATCACCAAACTTTACAATTAAAAAACACTAAGAGAAGATAAACTTTATGTTTATTTTAACATAATTGATTTTTAAAAGCTAGTTTTGGTCCAGGAAAAGTAGGCTGTAAAGTGACACGGCTTCTTCAAAGCCAAGTCACTCTCATCCAATATCCATCCTTCACAAAGCTTCATGTTCACACAGCAAATGTTAAAAGTAAATGCGTGTTATAGCTTCCCTTGTACAGAAAACAGAAAATAAAAAACTAAGCTTGTGAATACCTAGAAATATTTATTGGTCATCACTGGGGACTGGTAGTGTTGAGCAGATGGGTCACTCATTCCAGTTTGAAAGGTGCATTTGTACAATGATTGTTCAATGGCCTCTGTTTCCATGTTTTTGGGTTTTTTTTGCAGTGCTGGGATTAAACCCAGTGCCTTTCACATGCTAGGCAATGTCTACTCTGAGTTTCATCCCCAGCCCTCAGTTTTTTGAGACAGGTATGACTATGTACACCTGACCTCTCGAGATCCTCTTGCCTCTGACCCCCAAGTACTGGAATTATAGGTGTATACAACCATGTCTGGAATTTTGCTACCTTTTCTGATCATAGCTCTCTTTCTCCCCAGATGGATGAAAACACACTTGACTTACCCAGTTCGTTATTTCCGGCCTTTGCACTTTTCAGTACAAAGAATGGCTACAAATTTATTGTTCCCTTTCGTCGCCCTTTGTAGACAACAGTTTTGCTTCCTCTGCCAATCTCCTCATACAGAATGAAGTTTCCATCTCTGAACAGACTTCTCACACATGGTAAAACAGCATTTCTAGTTCCTAAAAAGTAAACAAAACAACACTGATAAGTGCCAGCTAACTGCATGACTACTTAGCGTAGGATATTTAAATATGGAAAAATCCTAAAAATTCTATAAATGAATAAATTCCACCTACTAGTGCTGGATACTAGTGTTCATAGAATGAACAGAGCTAGAGGAAAACAATTCACAAACCAATGTTCAACTTCCTATCAACAAGATCTTAGGTTGGGGCTCAGTAGTGGAGTGCTTGCCTAGCATGCACAAGGTCCTGGGTTCAATCCCCAGCAGTGCAAGAAAAAAAAAACCTACTCTACCAGGTGTGGTGAGGCATGCCTGAAATCTCAGCACTCAGGAGCTCCAAGCCAGCCTAGGCTACATAGGAAGACCCTGACTCAAGAAGCCAAAATTAAAGATCTTTACAAAAATAGTAAAAATGATTAGTAATTGTATATTATTTTTTGTCAGTCATACTTCAACAAAGCAGGAGGAAAAAGAACAGAAATTTGCCCCATTCCCTTTCCATTTGATTAGAAAAAGAAATAATAATTTTCCAAAAATTATCCAAGCAGTAAAATATCCTCTTTTAAAAACAGTCTATGTCTCCCACAGGATGCAGACAATCAGAATCGAAAACAAAATCACTTTGAAACAAGAGAGCAGTAAGTTAGGTGGAATGAAATTTCTTTGGGGAATGATGAAATGTTCTGGAATTCACTAATGGTGATGGTGAGACAACTTTGTTAATGTACTGTAAACCACCAACTGTACATTTTAAAGTGGTGAATTTCATAATATGTGAATTATATCCCTATTTTTTCTGAAGAATAAGCATGACACTAAAACCACAGTCCACAAAAGCAAAAATAGAACTACATCAAGATTTAAAATTTCTCCTGGCATGGTGTACCTGCCTGTAAATCCCAGCATTATAGAATGCTGAGTCAGGAGAATCCCTCACTCCAGGCCAACCTTGGCTACATAGTAAGATCCTCTCTCAAATACAAGCAAAAAAAAAAAAAAAATTTTTAAAGTTAAAATTTCTGTACAAAGGACAATATTAACAAAATGAAAAGCAATCCATGGACTGGGAGAAAATATTTATAATTCATATCTGATTAAAGATTACTACCAGAGCATATAATGAATTCAAAACTTAACACAAACTCCACTCAAAAATGGGCAAAGGGTCAGAGGCAGTGGCTCACACCTGTGATTCTAGCAGAGATAGAAAGGATCACATTTTAAAGCCACTCCAGGCAAAAAGCTTGCAAGACCCCATCTCAATCAATAAAAAGCAGGGTATAGTGGTACACATCTGTCATCCCAGTTATTTGAGATCCTTCTATTAAGGAGGATTGAGGGCCAGGCCAGGCATAAAGCGAGACCCTATTCGCTAAATACCTAAAGCAAAAAAGGACTGTGAGTACAGCGCATGTGATAGAGCACCTACCTAGTAAGTGCAAGGCCCTGAATCCAAATCCCAGTACAACCAAAAAGAAAAAACAAAGGGCAAAGGATTTGAATATACATTTCTCCAAACAAAACAAGTCAATATCTACAAGCACATGAAAAAATGCTCCACATTACTAGTCTATGGGAGAAAGCAAATCAGAACCACGATGAGATCCTATAACCTCACAGCCATTAGGACAACTATTGTAAAACCAGAAACAAAGCCAGAAAGCAGCAAGTGCTGGTGAGGATGTACAGAAATTGGAACCCTTTCTAAACTGCATTTCTATATGAAAAATTAATATAAAACTTTAAAAAGGACTGTGAGGAGAGGGAGAGGTTAAGAAATACTGATGAGGGAATTTGATGAAAGTACATTATATGCATGTTGTCACTATCACAATAAAACACCTTTTGTACAATTACTTTATGCCAATAAAAAATTGTAAAAAGAATCATTACTGCTTCCCAAAAATAAAACTGACTACATATAGCTGAAAGAAATTAATAGTTAAATTGAGGGGGGAAGGTGGTAATAAGCTGCACCTACATACAAAAACTCGTTCTATAGATAATTCCAAGTTTGTTGGACTGCAGGGGTTACAATTGTTTCTGTAGAGTTTTAGATGGTAACAAGCGCTTTAGGCTTTGCAGGCCGTAGTGTTTCAGCTGTAACTAGGACTCTGCTGTTGAAGTAGGCAGCCCTACAGGAGTGAATGAATGGCCAGTGCCCTGTTCATTAAAAACCATTATTTATGGATAGCTGAAACTTAAATTTCATATAATTTTCAAATGTCACCAAATACTATTCTGATTATTTTCCAACCATTCAATTTTTTTTAATTCCTTGGTTGTAGACTATGTAAAAAAAATTGGCCAAGGTGTGGCCTGTGGACACTGCTACTGGGACCATTGCTTTGAGCTCAGGAGGTTCAACATAGCCTGGCCACCACAATGTAGAGAGATGGAGGAGACCAGGTAAGAGAGAACTGAAACCAGTCATTCTGCAACTTTTCTTCAGGTTTGAAATTCCTTAACTTTAAGATTTTCTTTTTCACTTAGTCTAAAGATATTCCCGATTAAAGACTTCTTAATAAGCATAAAAAGAATCTGTAACCTCTTACCTGTAAAATAAAACTCAACACACAGGAATTCTACTCCACAAATCTACTTTATTATAAAAAGGACACTGGGGTAGACACCACCCAGGTCAGGATCAGCACCCTGCTAGCCACAAGAAGCCCGACTGTGAACCTATTCCCACTTGCCGGACTTCATACTTTTCACTTCCTTGCGTTTCCTTATAATTATCGAACCAAAGTCCCAGACACTGAGTTTAGTCTTGCAGGCTTTCAAAAAGTGTGGTGAGTCTTTTGAGTCTCTTTAAATCTTCAAGTTCACCTAAAAAGCCACAAGTCAGAGCCAATCACAAACACTAAAACAGACCAGGTGATAGGAGCGCACAGGTCAAAATCACCTCCACCTTCCACCGCGGTAATGAGCATCACCTGGGAATTCAACAAGAATGCAAATTCTCGAGCGCCAGCCAGGTCTACAAAATCAGAAACCCTGCAGGCGGAGCCAGCGCGGGGTTAATACACAGCCTCAGGTGACTCAACTGCGCACCTCCGGCCACATCAACCTTCCCAGGGCGGTGCCGAGCGCCCAGCAGGTGCTCCTCACAGCAACACTTTACCCACTGAATTACCTGCGGGCTTGGAATCCCTGATCTCCTGCACCTGGGCCCCAGGCAGCTCGAAGCAGCGCACCGGCATCACTGGGACAGGCAGCTGGGAACCCGCCAAGCGATGGCGGGCCGTGAAGAAGCGGCGTCCAAAAAAACTAGCGTCACTGCGTCCATAAAACTCATGTCTCGAGGCGAGAAGCACAAAGCATCCCTAGCTCCCCCTGCACCCAGGTCCTGCAAGAGGTGACCTTTTACCCTGAACCCAAACCGGATAAAGTTGTATAGTGTTTTAATACATGCGCAAAGCAGAGGCTGCAGAGAAAGACCAACGCGCGGGGGAGGAGGGTGGGCGCGGAGGTCCAGGGAGAGAGGAAGACCGGGCGGCGTCCCTCAAAGCTTGTGCTCTCTTCCACGCAGGCTGAGGTAGACACAAACGTTAAAACCGCCACTGCCACCTACCTGGCCGACTTGTATGGAGAAGCAGCCAAACACCGCTCCCGCTACTGAGAGCTTCCTGGCCTACGCTTCAGAGCGGTCCACTGGCCCCAACAGGGGGGAACAATGAAGCAAGGCGGGACGATCGCAAGCATTGTCCCACCTTGCGTCTCCAGCACCCCTCTGCATTTGGATTCGCCCATCCCGTCTCCAGGGAAGCACACAGGACGCGGGAAGAAGAACAGGACGCTGATTGGTCGACCAGGTCCCGTTCCTATTGGCTGGCGCCCGGAAGTGAGAAAAGAAGCGAACTCTTCCTTCAACTCTAATAACTTCGCAGCCGTTGTTAGGATAAACCAACCGCCCTGACACTGGGGAGGAAAGAGCTAGAAGTAGGCGAGACTCATAGCAGTGCCCGGGTTTGCAGGCCGAACACCCATCTTGGATTCGATCATCCCGTATCCATGGCAGCACGCCGGACGCCGGAAGGAACGTAGGGCGCTGATTGGCTGAGCGTTTCCATTGGCTAAGGCCCGGATATGGGCGGCATCTGTAAATCTTAAGTCTTTGGGACTGGAGGGTTCGGCCTGCAGAGCTGAGCTATCTCGGTAGTTGTTGCAGAGTTGGAGGCTGTCCTCCCACTGTGCTCGGTTCCTTCCTTTTTTTTTTTTTTCCTTCTTATCTTGATGCACGTCCTGCATCGTCTGTACTAATGGCTCAGCAGCAGGCGCCTGGGATTCCTCACCCTTTAGAAAAAAGACTGTGGATTATCTTCCTTTGTAGATGAGGAAATAGACTATTTCTCTGATCTCGAGTTGATTACTTAAGACTTAGAATTTCCCCCGGCAGACACGTTAGAAGCACCTGCAGTCTTCTGGCCTTCTCTCAGGCTAGGGCAGTGATTTCTGCACTAAATCATCAAGTCTTGTTAAAACACAGACTCATGGCGCCTTAAACAGAGGTCCTGGTTCTTTAGGCCTGGATTGGGTGGTGATGGAGATGTTAGTGGTTAAGGACCACGCTTTGCAAGCCAATATCCAGAGTCAGTGTTCTGCTGTCGGGGGAATCATGTATAGTGTAACTTCTAACTCTTGCTGCCCTCTCAAGAATACTACTGTGCCTAATCTGTGTATTTCACAACTTTGGTATGGAAAAACTTTCCTCATGGACCACTCCCAAATTAGTGAGGACACAAAATTTGGTGAATTTATTTTTCACTTATTCTGGGTTGATAAATAGCCTAAAAGTTAATGTCAGAAACATCAAGTCCTGGAGTTTCTTAGCCTAGTTTCCTTGGATTCTTCCAGGAAATTCATGAGTTTACTAAGACAGTTAAATTTCTATATGTATTTACATTTTTTGACTAAAAGTCCTATGGCTGATCAGATTTTCAAAGGTGAAGGATGACTCCAAAAAGTTTAAGAACTCCTGCTATCAATAACCCAAAACAATGTCACAAAAAGGCAAGCCAGAGGAAAAGATACTACTCAATGACTACTAATGACCTAGAGCTAGAACTTGAAAAGCATTACTTCAAAGTTTAAAAACAGCAGGTGAGTGTGTTTAGGTTCTTGAGTAGGACTGAGAGCTGAAGCACTATGTTGTGTATAGCTTAATTTTCCCAAGGAACATTCGAATGACCTTTGCTTTCACATCAGCTTTAGATTCTCATTCTCATTTATGAAGCTGAGCACTGAATGAATGTCCACGCAGCCCTTATCTTTTACAATCAGTGAAGTATACTTTCTTTTTTACCATGGACCCTTGGGAGCAGCTACCACAGCTACCAGCCTGTCCATTGTGTAATATGGTAGGAACTGAGGTGGACAAACCAATCAGTGACAAGAACAACCTGGAGAAATTATGGTCTTGTTCTTGAGATTTCCAAAGCTAAAGGCGTCTGTGGACTGAGCTATAGAGGCCCAGGTATATGTCATGTTAATACAAATCTCCAGCTATGAAAAGGGTCCCACGAGGCAGGAAATTCAGGGAATGTACCCCAAACTAGGTCATGGGAATAGGTGACCTCCTCACAGATCTCTCATGGGAACAGGTGGCCTAGCTTCACCAAGAACTTCCCCAAAACACCCCTTTTGAAATAACATTTTCAATCTGGACCCAATAGGCATGCACACAAAGGGCTCTAATTACAGGAATATGGACTGCATCTCGTGAACTAACAAAGTGAATTCAAAAGCCACTCCTAAAGTACCACCCAAATCTTCCCCCCTTACTTACTACTTATATTGTATACATACCATCCAAAGCAAGGCACCAGCACTCTTGAGCTATAGGTGCCCCTCTTAAGCCACCTTGCTGGACTCCTCTTCTTCCTTGGGGAGTATACTTCCTACTTTCTGCCTTTTCAATAAAACCTTTGCTTTGCAACCTGTGTTCTACACTCAGTTTTTATTTGGGGGGGGGGGGGGGGGGGGGGGGGGGGGGGGCGGGGGGGGGGTGGGGGGGGGGGGGGGGGGGGGGGGGGGGGGGGGGGGGGGGGGGGGGGGGGGGGGGGGGGGGGGGGGGGGGGGGGGGGGGGGGGGGGGGGGGGGGGGGGGGGGGGGGGGGGGGGGGGGGGGGGGGGGGGGGGGGGGGGGGGGGGGGGGGGGGGGGGGGGGGGGGGGGGGGGGGGGGGGGGGGGGGGGGGGGGGGGGGGGGGGGGGGGGGGGGGGGGGGGGGGGGGGGGGGGGGGGGGGGGGGGGGGGGGGGGGGGGGGGGGGGGGGGGGGGGGGGGGGGGGGGGGGGGGGGGGGGGGGGGGGGGGGGGGGGGGGGGGGGGGGGGGGGGGGGGGGGGGGGGGGGGGGGGGGGGGGGGGGGGGGGGGGGGGGGGGGGGGGGGGGGGGGGGGGGGGGGGGGGGGGGGGGGGGGGGGGGGGGGGGGGGGGGGGGGGGGGGGGGGGGGGGGGGGGGGGGGGGGGGGGGGGGGGGGGGGGGGGGGGGGGGGGGGGGGGGGGGGGGGGGGGGGGGGGGGGGGGGGGGGGGGGGGGGGGGGGGGGGGGGGGGGGGGGGGGGGGGGGGGGGGGGGGGGGGGGGGGGGGGGGGGGGGGGGGGGGGGGGGGGGGGGGGGGGGGGGGGGGGGGGGGGGGGGGGGGGGGGGGGGGGGGGGGGGGGGGGGGGGGGGGGGGGGGGGGGCGGGGGGGGGGGGGGGGATCCAAATAAGTGGCTAGCCCTGGGGGCTTCTATACCATTTTAACAAAGAGCAATAAATTGTGGAGAAGAATGACAATGGAAAAGGGGGGGCCTGGCTCAAGTGTTAGAGCCCTTGTCAGGCAAGCCCAAGGCCCTGAGTTCAAGCCCTAATACTCAAAAAAAAAAAAAGAGGAAAGAAAACGAGAGAGACAGAGAGGAGGAAGGAGAAGGGAGGGAGAGAGGGAAGTCGAGGGGCCTGGGCTAGGGGCCTGGGCTAGGGGCAACAGCTTGTAGGAAAGTGACCAGGAAACACATGGGGAAAGTAAAGAAAGATGAGCCTTACTCTAGTAAGGTTTGTATAGATTATTCATGTTGGCCTCACCCCCCCATCTCTGTGATACAATGTTCTGTTCTCTTCCTGATACAGGAAGGGTACCTTTTTCACAGGAAATTTATGTCTTGTTTTGGGGTAGGAAAGGAAGGTTAGGAAGCCTTCCTGCATCTGCTGTTTCTCAATTACTTTCAGTTCAAAATATTCACTGTGCCCAGCAGTGTGGGAGGGGATAGCACGTTCTGATCCCCTTCAGCCATACTTTCAACAGTACTTCCCCTTCCGTTGCATTCTCCAAAGACTGTTACTGTGTGACACAGACTTTTACTGAAGTTGTGGTGGTAACAGAGCGAGCTTGCAGCATAGGAAGGAAACAACTTCAAGCTGAGAGTTGGATTCAGAGGTAGGGAGGGATATAGAAAGCAGGCATCTGCCATTGAGGATAGGAGAGCAATTTGGAAGCAGCTATGAAAGTGACACATCGCATTCCCATTGATCCTTCAATTCCACCTCTAGGAATTTCCTTAATAGATATCTTCTCTACTCAGGAAGCAGACATCAGGAGGATCAAGGTTCGAAGTCAGTCCTGGCAAATACTTTGTGACATCCTATCTCAAAAAAAAAAAAAAAAAAAAACACCGAAAGGGGCTGGCAGAATGGCTGACATCTAGTGGTAGAGTGCCTGTCTAGCAAGCATGAGGCCCCGAGTTCAAACCCCAGTACCACCAAAAAAGTAAAAAATATATATCTTATCCTTTCAAACTGAACATTGCACAATCACTGCAGCCTTATTTGTAATTTAAAAATCACAACTCAAATGTCCATCAGCAGCAGACAGATAAAATTAGAAACAAATTTGCCCTTTACGTATCTTCCAAGATAGGGTACTGAGAAAAAAAAAAAGGTGCTTATCACTGAATATAGTATATCCCCATTTGTGGGGAGGGGAAAAAAAGAGGAGACTATATGTAGGTATTTGCTCACGTATGCAAGGAATACCCCCACACCCCCCAAAAGATTTGTTCTTTTTTTTTTTTTTGGTGGCATGGGGTTTGAACTCAGGTCCTCATGCTTGCTAGGCAGATGCTCTTAGCACCTGAGTCACTCCACCCCCCCTCAACCCTCCCCCACCCCCCCTACCCCTGGCCCACCAGAAGGATTTGTAAGAAACTAGTTCTGCTGACTTTGGAGCAGGTGTGGGTGGTTACAAGGCTGAGTGTAAGA